GTGCAAGGATACAGGGAAATGTAAAGCAATATGGTATATGGAAAACTGTCTTACATTAAATAGAGTTCCCTGGTTTCAGGATTTCGACATTTCGCGGGGGAGTGTGGTCTTCATTTGCAGACTGAGATGTGATCACACTTTGCTATCAGAAAGTCTTCACAGGTTCGATATTGTACCCTCTCCGAATTGCAATTATTGTGACTTAACGGAATCTGCGGAGAGAAGAAAGAGAGATCATGTTTTTTGGCAGTGCAGTCGCTTCGAGGAACAAAGGTCTCTGTTAATAAAGCGATTATCGGGGGTGATAGGAGTACTACCGTTTCCAATCAGGTCTCTGCTTAGTACGATGGATGCAAAAGTTGTGTTTGCGGTGAGTTCATTCATACAAGAAATAAAAATGAAAATATAAATATCTGTTTAAGTAAGGAAGAGAAAGGAAAAGAGAGTAAAAAAAGAGGAAAAAAAAATAAATAAATATATGTATATATAAATATAAATTTAACATATATAAGATAGGCAATAATATATGTATATATAGATATTAGCAAGCTCTTATAGGGCGGTAGTCTATCACCAGTGTTAAGGTTACTTAACATTTTTATTTTAGAAGTTATTAGTTTGATCCAGTTATTTGAGTTTAACCCGTTTAAGGGGATGCCGGATGATGTTTTTACCGACCGAATGCGAGAATATTTAGTTTTTTTTATATAACTTTTTATTGACTATACTGATCAATAAATCCTTTTCCACGATTAAAGTACTTATAAAAACGGACCGCGCTAGCTATGTTTGCATATATAAATCATATAAAAATCAAAAATTACAGTTTTGTTATCGGCTGCTTTGTGTCAGTTCGTAATAATACTTATTTAATAAAAAAAAGTTCTGCAGTTTGTCTGTGCATAAAATATAGTATGCGCCGTAAGGATAATATGAAGAATTATTAGTAAACAATTAAAAGTGAGATTGCAAGTCTAATGAAAAAGTTATATATTAAAAACATTTTTACGCATATGTGTTGTATACGTGCATATGTTTAGATATGTGTGGTGCTAACTCGTCGGAGTTCAGCCAACGCTCCGGGTAAGTGGTGATATATATACTTTAGCGGTTTTTTTTTTTAATTATTTAATAATAATTAAAATAAGCTTTAATTTTATTTTGTAATCTAATAAACTATCGTTTTAAGCGTTATATAGTTTAAGTAACTGTAAGCGTGTATTCTATGCTATTATGTTCTAGTCTAAAATATCAGAATACGAACTACTTTATTTTTTTATACTATAGTAGATTATACCTCTAGATGATAGGATAAATCTCTGTATTACCACAGCTGTATAGTCACATGACCAAGGCTTGCCTTTTGCCCAATAAAAAAAAAAAAAAAAAAAAACAACGCTCCGGCATCCCTTCAACCCTGTGGAACACAGAGAGCTTTAATAAACATAAAGATTCAAAAAGTATAAAATTATACTAAAATACCATATGGTATTATAAAATAAACATATTAAAGTAATTTTTCCGACCAAGAGGGATTTTTTAGCTAGTTCCCAATTTTGATCGTAAAACTGTTTCGATTGACGCGGAACGTCCTATATATGTTGTGACGTGGTCGTCCCGACGCTCGTTATTCCCCGACGCGGGGCCGTAAAGCCGAGCGGCCGCGCCAAGAGAGCGAGCGAGAGAGAGCGAGAGCGAACCCCGAGAGACTTAGCGGCGCGAAAGACATTATTATTGACAAATTTATTTTTAATTTTTTTATGTATTATGGGAGCCTTGCTGTGAGGATTGATTAAAGAAATTGTCGAGGAGAAAAAATCAAAAATCAGCAAGTGGCGAAAACACTACGCACGGAACACGTGGCCCGCCATATATTCACCGCCACCCCGCTCCCTCCTCGCCAAAACCCTGTCAGCCAACGCATAATCAAGGGGTCGCCGTTCAAGGCCGCAAAAGTAACAATAATGTACCTCCGCAGCGAGTTTTTATCATATTGTATTGTTGTAGTGAAGGGTACCGAAAGTACCCCAACACATGTCCGGACGATTTCGAAAATCGGGAAAGACGCGAAAAGCCGTAATTGGCTGTCGCGAATCCCACCCCTGATTTGATGAATTCGCCCGGCTGCCGATAGCGAGTCGGCATATCCGGGAGATTGGCGCGACCGCTCGACATCGAGAGACGTACGGTACCAGAGGACCGAATACCGGAAAACGAAAATTCGGGAGGCCCGAGGACGAGAGAGTTCTTTCCGGTGAGGCTACCCTGACTGAGTATCATGCAAGTAACACGTCCGCATTATAGTAAATTCCGAGTCCCGACCGTGTTGACACGATCGCGTAAGTTAGTGTATTTCTTTAGCGTACGGACTGGGCCCATTGTTGACGGAAATAATTACTTTTCGAGTTGGTCACTTCGCGAGAGCGATCGCGGTCAAGCGGTGAGGAGTCTCGAGAATCTTGACGCGTCGTAGTTAGCTTCGCGGTTTTAAGTCTCTCTAGGATTAATAGTCGTCGCGCCGTCTCACTTTTTGTCGCGCTTCTTTTTGTGTTTGTATAATTGCGTTTTAGCGATTCGAGCATGTCGAGTTATGCGTGTGTGAGTGAATAGAGCGAATTGTGGAAACAGTGCGATTGTTCGTTTCATAGTTTGATTGTCGCGTGTAAGCAAAGGAGAGCGAAGATTTAGCGAGACCGCGTGCGAGAGCGCGAAAGCGACAAAGACAGAGAGCGTGTGCGCGCGCGAGAGCGAGCGAGACGGCGATAGTCGTGAACTGCCGGTCGCTGGCGTATTCGCGTTACATATCGACTTATATCATGTTGCGGCGATACTTGTGCTCTCTGAGTATCTTTGAGAATCTTTCGAATCTAAGTCCTGAGGATCGCGATTGCCAAATTAATTGTTCCGCTCTCTTCCTGGTGTGTAGAACGTTATCGAGTTGTCATGTATCCGACATGTGCAAAGTTTGAGTTATTTTGCGAGCCGAGATTATCGCGGTATTTCGAGTATTATTATATGTCGTCTTTGTCGAACTCTCAGCGACATCCGTTCGCTTTATACCGTAACTATCTGTCACTCTGTGAATATTGCAGTGAACCACTTCGTTTTGTATTAACCTTTTTTTGTATTATTTTATAACGCCGAGTACACGAAATTTTCTAATTGCCTATTTATCGAAATTACATTTCTGTTAATATTTTCTTTTGTAATCCGACAGTTATCCGATTTCATATTGTGTTCTGTACTACTTTTCTTATTTTTTTTTGTAATAAATCGGAGATATTTTACATGATACGTTCACGTTTGTATTATTTGTTATTTCTTTGAGTTGTCGCGCCTCAATAACGGGTGATCAAAAATTAAAAATCTCGCGTCTACTTCGAGTCTACGTTTTATCTCTTTCGCGGCAATCACAGCCTCTACCGTTAGGTGAGCAGCCGGCCCGTTGCGAACTTCCGGCCGGATTTTCGTGCTAGTATGTCGCAAATTGATGCGTGAAAGACCGCGTTTGGCGCCCAAAAATTAGAGCATTTTCGCGCGTCCGTCGGCTGGCGTTCTGCTGCGGCACGCGCAGAGCGACCACCAACCTTCCCAGCAAACACAATATATAAATGTTATATACTCAAGCATGTTACATGTAACGTATATGTTAGTTGTAATTTCCCACTCATAGATGTAACATTTTTAATATTACATATATTACATTGTAGTTATATTGTCATTATATCTCAAGATAGCACTGACTCATCAATGTGCTATTTGGTATATAATTACAATATAACTACAACGTAATATATGTTATATTAAAATGTTACATCTATGAGTGGGAAATTACAACTAACATGGATGTTACATGTAACGTACACGTTATATTACCTGTTACATTCCGTTTTATTGTAGCAATGTAACAATTATATATCGGTGTTTGCTGGGTAATATCCTGCGTAAGAGTTTTTAAGGAATAATATAATTCTTTCCTTTTTTTTGACAACGACCTCTACTCGCCACTTCGGTGCTCCAGGGGCAAGAAAAGTCGCAATGTATATGTTTTATATAGAATATTCGAAATATTATTCTTGTTAAACATATTCATATAGGTATAAGTAAACATCGTAATCACACACATAATACATATATTTTATTTTATTGTACAATATTAAGTATACATATATATATACACACACACACACATATATATATATATATATATATATATATATATATATATAAAACTTATTTCTCTCTCTCTCTCTCTCTCTCTCTCTATATATATATATATATATATATATATATATATATATATATATATATATAGCTTTCGTGAGTTCTGTGAGTTATTTTTGCGTAAAAAATATATGTATAATATTTCGTATACATATTCATCTGCAATCCTTCGTGAATTTCGATATAGTATCATCCTCATATGTAGAATGACTAAACATTTATATATATATATATATATATATATATATCCTAAAGCTTGTATCAGATTAAACATATTGAAGATTAAAAGATTGGAATATTTCTAAACAGAATAAAAATTGCTAATCAAAACAAAAGAAGCTAAATTTTTTTCTGATAAACCAAATTTTAAGTTTCAAAATGCATATATATATATATATATATATATATATATATAGTCTGATACGAACTTTAAATAATTAATCTGATGAGGTATTTCACAAATGCTTAATAAATATATCTAGGTTTTTACTATTTTTATTTACAATATATGATTTAAAAAAGTTAATAGATATGTATTATATGTTTATATCGCTTTGTTCTTTTAAAGTTGCAAATTGAGTATTATATCTGTTATTTTATTTTTAATATATAATTTATTTTAATTTTAAACTTACATATATATATATATATATATATATATATATATATACGTAAAATATGGGATATGGCACTCTTATTATGAGATAGAATAACTAAAATATAGAAAATAATAATAATAAAATATAATTTGATAAAAACGAAAAAGTGAAGATAATAAAAATGCAAAAAAATGCAAAAAAGAACCTATAATTATTTTTATAATCTTTTCAAGGCTCCTGACTCCCCGACCATGTTAGAATTTTCAGCATATGCTTTCTCGCCTTTGACGTCACAATAGCCTCAGCGAGGATTCATCAAGAGTCTTTTTAAAGCGTATTATATCTTTCAAATATATGTCAGTTTTACGGGTATGTAAAGTTAGCCCCCCATTTTTTTAATTTCAAAAAAATTATTAGAGTTCTTGCTGCCTCCTTAATAGTTCTAGAGTTCTCTATCGGTTTTATAAATAGTTCCGGCGTTTAAAGCATCGAAAATAGCATTTCAAGTTAAGGGGGGCTAACTTCATATTTTTTTCTTTTGAGGTCGTATAACTTTTTTTCTATTCATTTTAGCGCATTAAAACATAAGAGTAATTGATAGAACTCTTCGGGGGCTATCAGAACTCTCAATAAAATTGCCGATTTCCAAAAAAAATTGCGGATTCGAAATTTTTTAAGTCTCGCAGAGATTAAATTTTCTTTTTTGATAATCGGCAGTTCTGTTGGCAGTTCTGGCAGCCCCCCAAAGAGTTCTAACGAAAAGTATTAGTATTCGCGCTACGACGCAAAATAAAAGAGTTCTAGTTACTTAAAATTAGAAATTTGAATGCTAATACTTTTCGTTAGAACTTTTCGGGGGGCTGCCAGAATTGTCAACAAAACTGCCGATTAAAAAAAAAATTTTACCCCTACGAGACTTAGAAAAATTTCGAATTTCTAACTTTAAGTAACGAAAATTCTTTTATTTTGCGTCGTAGCGCTTCTAATACTAATACTTTTTGTTAGAACTCTTCGGGGGGGGGGGGGGGGGGGTGCCAAAACTGTCAACAGAACTGCCGATTATCGAAAAAGAAAATTTGACCCTTGCGGGACTTAGAAAATTTCGAATCCGCGATTTTTTTTTGAAAATTGACAATTTTATTGAGAGTTCTGATAGTTCCCCAAAGAGTTCTATCAATTACCCTTATGTTTTAATGCGCTAAAATAAATAGAAAAAAAGTTATACGACCTTAAAAGTTAAAAAAAATATGAAGTTAGCCCCCCTTAACTTCAAATGCTATTTTCAATGCTTTAAACGCCGGAACTATTTCTAAAACCGATAGAGAACTCTAGAACTATTAAAGGGGCAGCAAGAACTCTAATAGTTTTTTTAAAATTACAAAAATGGGGGCTAACTTCACATACCCCAGTTTTACGATTACTGATCTCTATATCTTTCACGGTTATGCACGTGCTATGTCTATCCTGTCTCGAGATTTTTCTAGAACCAGAAGATAATCGGGAGTAGTGTGATTCAACACATCGACCTCGATCATAAAAATCGACGCGGGCGGCGTTTCCTCGATTCGATCCTCCTGGGCTGGTAAAAGCGGTATCAGCGATTTGTAAGTTTGCAGTTCCATGGACGGCGAGATTCCACGTACGCTCGGATCGCTGACCGCCTCTTCCTCGCCCAATCGCTCGTTCGACGGTGCGGAATCGCTAATCACAACTGCTGTTTTGGTGTTGATATCAGATGATTGACGTGTTTCTTTCTCCTGCGTCAATGAAACACGCCTTTCAGAAAATGCATTGCTTGTCCTCTTATTGTCGATCACCTGTAACCAATAGAGATCCAATAAAGATCCAATAGACATCCAATATAGCAGAGATCCAATAGTGATCTAATAGAGATTCAATAGTGATCCAATAGAGATATAGATTGCAAATTGTAAAAAAAACTGTTTTACCAAAGGCCTTTCTAATACTTGACCTTGACATATATTGTCAAGGTTATTGTCCAGAGTATCAATCAAAAAATAAGGTTTTAGCCGTCGCTCATTTTTTATTAAAAAGTTATTAATAAAAAAACTTTCATAAATAGACTATTATATAATAACATAAGAATTATATTAATAAGTATTAGAATATTAATAAGAATTATATTAAAAAGTATATCAAGGCTCTGTAATATTAAATATTAAAGACAAATAAAAAAGGCCTAAGAGCTATACACTGATGTTTCTTGTGCACATTTTCAACAAAAATGAATTTTTCGTTGGAAGTAAGAATTATAAATTATACATATATATTATATAGTTATATACATATATACAGGGTGTCCCTTTTTAAACAACGCACCTCGATACTTCAACGAAGCATTTTCAACAAAAATGTTTCAGACAAAAAATGTATGATTTCGAGAGGAACATAAGATGGTGTCATTGATTTGACCTTGAAAAATTATTTAAAGGTTACGTAAAGATCAACTTCAATTTCTTAAATGGAACCATCTATTTTCCATTGTAATATTCTTGTAACCTATCTCGAGAGTTTTCCAAAACATTATAACAAAATACTTTTATGGAGTAATTTTTCAATTATAAAGGTTTGAAGTTTGTTGACAAAAAATGTAATATATTTTGTAAAATATTCAATTTTCGGTATTCATACCTTAATACTTTTGTGCAACCGACGCGCGAAAAGTCGCCCTTTCCATACATGATTTTAGAAAGGGCTCCCTTTCCACGCACCGGTTACACAAAATATTGTAGCCAACATGTGTGGGTCATAAATCGGCCGATCGCGGATTGTCACTCGGCTTCGCCTCGTGCGCCAAACTTCCGCACTCTCGGCCGATTTACGATCCCCCGCACTTGTTAGCTAATATACTATTATGCAATAATAAGACCAATCAATTGGTATAAAGAAAATATATAGTTGCTTTAAAAATGATGTATGTTATTTAAAATACATTTTTTTAAAAGCAACTATGTGTTATCTTTACACCAATTGATTGGTCTCATTATTCCGCGCATAAAAGTATTAAGGTATGATTATCGAAAACTGAATATTTTACAAAATATTTTACATTTTTCCATAAAATTGTTAGCTTATTCAAACCTTTTATAACTCAAAGAGTACTCCATGAAAATTAAGTACTTTATTATAGGATTTTGGAAAGCTCTCGAGATAAACTACAAAAATATACAATAAAAAATAGATAGTTTCATTTAAAAAATTGCAGTTGACCTTCACGTGACCTCTAAATGACTTTTCAAGGTCAAATCAATGGCACCATCTTATTTCCTCTTCGAAACCATACAACTTGTGTCTGAAACATTTTTGTTGAAAATGCTTCGTTGAAAAATTATCAAGGTGCGTTGTTTAAAATGGGACATCTTGTATACACATACACGCGCGCGCGTGTGCGTCTGTGTGTGTGTGTGTGTGTAATAGTAAATTTGATGGATAAACAATTTTATACCAACGCAGTTGTGTATTTTATGCTAAGTTGTGGTTATTTATTCTTTAGCTATGTTATAAAGTTATGACAACGTTATGTTTTAACCGCGAAATATACTAACGCATTTGTGTAGCATATACGTTATTTAAATGTATAGAAAATTAACTTGAACAAAATATTTTAACTTTTAGTATCAAAGTAAATAATTTCACACACACTCATCACAATGCCACAGAAATTCTCTCAAATATATACATACATATGCTCCTTTATTATTCAATATTTATCTAAAATGTTTTATATTAGATACTTTTGCATTATTTATCAACATTTTTGATACATTTTTTAAATTGTTTTGTTTAATATGTTACCATTGTTATTATTTTATTTATTGATAATTTTGAACATATAAAATAATAAATCGATATTATAACAATAATTGAAGAAAATGGACTAATCAAATTATTATATAAAATATTATATTTAAAATCTAACATTAAATAATATTAGAATATGGCTTTAGATTCTAGAATTAGATATCGATGTGTTACTTCTAATTTTAATATTTACTGTATTTATTAAATTATTTTTACTATTCTAGATGTATATATAGTATCTCTAAGAAAAAATAAAATATTTTAAGAATTAATTTGTTAATATTAAAGTACTTATAATTTGGTTAGATTATTTTTATTATTTCATTTAAGTTAAAAATTTCAAGTTATTATAAAAAACTAATATCTTTTTTTAGTATATATTTTATTATTTTTCTAGAAATATTTTGATAATATCAATTTTCGTTAAATAGAGACAAAATGACAAAAATTATATAGAAATGTAGATATTTGAGAATTGCCAGACAGAATTTAAAAAAGTAAAACTCCTCTCTCGACCGTACCATCAAAAATTATTCATTAAATCACAACGTTTCGACCTTCGAACCCTTCTTTGAGTCCTTATCAAGTGATCTAGATATACATAGAGAAGAAATACAGTACAGAGATTAATACAATAAAAAAAAATTACTTCAAAAGGACTCAAAGAAGGATTGAAACGTTGTGATTTAATGAATAATATTTGCCGGTACGGTCGAGAGAGGAGTTTTTAAAAATTATATAATTTAATATACACTAGTCAGAACAATTAGAGGAGCACTTAAATTTTCTTAAACAGTAGGCAAAATTCAATCAGCTGTAACTTTATTAAAAATAAAAATTCAAATTTTAAAAAAGTTTTATAACTTGAAATCTCTACTTTCGAAAGCTCACTACATTTTTACATTTCTATTTAGTTTGATAATTTTTACTTGTAGAAAACTACATATATGAACTGGATAAAATTAGAAATTTTCTTCTCACTTTGCCTGTTACGTGTGTAAAAAAATTTACGAAGTTTTTCAACTCTGGTGAAAAAGCTTGAAGATTTCTTAACAAAATTGTTTTTTAAAAATCTTTCTACGTGTTTTTATTACTGAATTATTGCCGATTGAGCATGTTGGCTTTAGTCGTTCATAACTCTGTTACAAATCATCGTACCGCAATTTTAAAAAACGATTACTAAAGCTGAAACTTTACTCTATGCAGCGGAATAATTGCCAAAATTTTTGCAAAAACATATAGACCAGTTACAAATGATTGAAAATAACGTAAAAATTATCGACTTTTTTCTTTTAAAAAAGGCAAGTTAAGTCGATTCTCGAATGTATCGGTTTATCTCGAAAATCTCGAAGTATTGTTGCCTCTTTTTCGCGATGCTGATTGGTTCTGTCATAGCGTTTACTTCGTGAACGGCTGTCATTGCATATTTTGATAATTGTATGTATCGAGGGATTAGTATAGTGATAGTAATGTACATATATTAAAGGATTTGGTGTATATAATAGTTAAAATCTGGTAAATAATTGTTTATTAATTTTGTGATTGAGTGATTTTGACTTCAGTTTTTTGTTAGTTAGAAAGGGAAATAAAAATTTAGTAAATTAAAATTAAATATATATAGAAATTCAGTTAATTTATGTCTAAATTAACTGAATTTCTATATATACCTAATTTTAATTTACTAAATTTTTATTTATAGAAATCCAACGAATTAAAATTATTTACACAATAGAAATTCGGCGAATTAAAATTATATATACATAATAAAAATAAAGAATTAATTTTATGTAGAAAATAAAAATTCGACAAATTTTAATTATGTATATATATATATATATATATATATATATATATATGTATATATACATATATATATATATAATAGAAATTCAGCAAATATCTATTATATATAATAGCAAATTTCTATTATATATAACAGAAATTCAGCAAATTTCTATTATATACATAATCTTAATTCATCAAATTTTTATTTTGTACATAAAATTAATTCTTCATAAAATTGATTCATTTTTATTATGTACATAATTTTGATTCGAATTTCTATGTACTTAATTTTGATTCGCCGAATTTATATTATGCACATAAATTTCATTTTTGAATTTCCATTATATATGTACTTAATTTCGATTCACCGAATTCCTATTATGTACATATTTATTATTCCTGAATATCTATTATATGTACTATATATGTAATTTTAATTCTCGAATTTCTATTATATACATAATTTGCCGAATTTCTATTATGTACTTAATTTTGATTCGCCAAATTTATATTATGCACATAATTTTAATTCGCAGAATTTTTATAATGTACATAATTTTAATTTGTCGAATTTTTATTATATACATAATTTTAATTCTCAAATTTTTATCATGTACATAATATAGATTCCTAAATTTCTATTATGTACATAATCTTAATTAAATTTCTATAATTTCTATTATGTTCATTTAATTCACCGTATATTTTTTATGTAAATAATTTTAATTTGCTCAATTTCAATTACATATATAATTTTAATTTGTCGTATTTCTTTTATGTAAATAATTTTAATTCTCTGAATTTCTATTATGTACATATAATTTTATTCTTGAATTTTTATTGTGTATATAATTTTAATTCTTGAATTTTCATTGTGTTTTAAATTTTGATTTGCCAAATTTATACTATGTACAATACCTAAGAATTCTTGAATTTCTATTATGTTATAATTCCAATTCGCCGAATTTCTATTATGCACATAATTTTAATTGGCCAAATTTCTATTAGGTACAATTACAGTTATTTACATAATATGTAGAAATAGGGCGAATTAAACTTATGTGCATAATAGAAATTCAAGAATTAAATTATGTACATAATGGAACATCAAAAATTAAAATTATTTACGTAAAAGAAATACAGCAAATTAAAATTGTTTGTAATAGAAATTAGGTAAATTAAAATTATGTACAAATTCGAGAATTAAAGTTATGTACATAATTGAAATTCGGCAAATTAAAATTATGTACAATCACGGAGAAAAAGTTTGTTTAGCGCGCGCAAAACGCGCGTTTATATTATCTAGTGACCTAAAAAACAATTGTATAGTACAATAAAAAATTTATTCTTCACGGTTTTTTCTACTTTTGAGTACCTTGAATATGATACAAAATTGGTGAATAGCTGTAAGATTTTTTTCATGACGGCCACTGTTTTTATGAGTAAGAAGTAAAATTGTTTAAGTTTTTATTTAAAAAGTTACAGCCGATTAAATTTTGTCTATTTTTTGAAATTTAAGCGCTCTTCTAATTATTTTGACTAATGTAGATAAAAATTTAAAGATATAACACAAAAGTGAAACGCATCCGAAACATAAGAAATAAAAATTGGAAAGTTTATTAATTAATTATCCCTAAATAATAAAAATTAAATTTTCTTTCTTTCTTTTTTCTCTTAAAAAAATAAACCAAAATAAGTTTCTTCCTGTTTGACATTTAAAATTTAATTAAATTATACAGTCAAATAGAGAACGATTAACGCACCTGGCGTAACAAACTCGATCTTTGACTCCTCGGCTGAGGAAAGTCGCTAAGACGATGAGCCTGAGGCTGCCTCTGCGAACCGACGAGGGATCCGCGATCCTGGATCACGCTGATTACGCTCGATTTGACATTGCTGTGCGGGAAAAGTAGTCGCCAGACAAAATTCTTGAGCGCGAAGCGAAAATCTTTGAGGTGATAGGCGTAGAGGAGCGGATTGCCGACTGAGTTCATGTGCGAGAGGATGATGCAGAAGTTCATCAGAAGATCGTTTACCTCGCATTTGGGACAAAAGGCCATTACGCAGTTTATCGTGTACAGCGGAAACCAGCAGACAATGAAGAAGAGGACGATACGTGAGAGATTCTGCGTAGCCTTGATCTCCCGTTTGCGTGCCGCGCCGAGCACACGCAACATTGTCCCCGTTGTTTGATGGCCAAGACGCAAACCACCGAGACGACGAACAGCACCGCTACCATTTGGGTCCACCGTGACGATTTGCTGTAACTACAACCGTCGTACCCGTTACACTTCTTACAGGTAAACCTTTTATCTTCTACCTTCGCGATTAAAATGAGACTTTGGGAAATGGTACTTAGGCATGTCTCATTTAAAGTTAAAGATCAGATCTTCTACCAAATTTCCAGGAACACCAGAATTCGGAGTGTTAGAGACTTGATGGAGTCTGCAGCCAAACTAATAGTTGTATTTGTAACTTATTTCTATGAATTTTCAAGTGTTCTCACTGAATTGCCCCTTTCGTAGAGATTATAGTAGCTTCTGATTGAGTGAATTTTTGAAAGCGGTGCATTTGCACATAATACAATTGGACGTCGCAAATGGACACGATACTTTATTGCACACGGTTCAATTGAACACTGTTTTTTTGCACACCGTTTTTTTACATATTGTTTAATTACACACTGTTCGTTTAGACACTGTTTTTTTGGACACCGTTATTAATATAGATTTGCAACTTTCAATACAAAGCATAATCTATTTCACCTTATTCCACATGGGTTTTCCACACATATCGACCGGTGCTTTCAATCATTAACAAGGTGTTTTCAATCATTATCAATAATTAAGAAAAGTGTGTAATTCAATGGTGGGCAAATGAACAGTTTGCAATAAAATTGTATCCAAACAAACGATCTGCAAAAGAATAACGGCGCGCAAAAGAATAGTGTGCAAAAGAACGATGTCCAATTGAACTATATGTGCAAAATATCGTGTCCATTTGTAACATATGCAATTGTACTGTGTTCAAATAAAGGCCACTCGCGCGCATTTTTACTATTTTTCTGCTCATTCATTATCTAATCAATTATTCATAGTTTGACTTTATTGATGAGACAACAATTTTGAATAACAAATTTATTTTTTGTGATAATTTATACACTTTATATATATGTACAATGTTTCAAGCAGAATGCTTCTTATGGGTGATGGTGGTGCCCAATTGAACGCGCATTATTGTTTATATCAATTAAACACTTATTACATCAAATAAGCTCTTCCTGATTGGTCAATCGTGCTAATCACCTTAAGCACCAGTATCGATATTAATGGTTGTGTCGAATCGCATTATGTCCCATTTAGGCCACTTCCACTTTTGGGTGCAACAAAACTCACAGGCACATAATTCCTCCAACCTTCAAAGGTACGATCGCAAAGACTGTTTACGTCAAAGCAATATTGCACCGGTGTTCAGTATGCGTTCTAGAATATGAATACTTCCCAGATAGGATACTTTCAACGATTAAGACACGAAGGTTTCAAACAATGATTTCAAATTGTGATGCTTCTGAGAGTTTTACAGGAAAGATTAGCTTTAAATAAGACATGCCTAAATCATTTCCCAAAGTCTCATTTCAATCGCGAAGGTAGAAGACAAAAGGCTTTTACTTGTTATAGGTATTTCTTTATATATCGTTGTTTGCGTTGTCGGCATTTCCCAGACAACACCATGTCTAAAAGTTAGTGTATAAAACATCTTTAAGATATTTTTAAGATGTCTTTGGGATGTCATATCAAGATTTCTTAATGATGTTTTATGCACCAATTTTGAACATAGTATTATACTATCTGGGTTTAGTTTCTTCATTCGTGCGACTAACCTGCTTTATGATCACCCGATATATATGGGCGTAGAATGCGGCAATCAGCAAGGCGGGGAAGATTATTGTGGCGAAGTATAAGAATACTAGGTAATTATAATCCATAACTTTAGTGAAAATACATCTGTGATCGCTCGTTTCGCCGCCGTTCCATCCGAATAACGGCAGGAACCCCACTAAAGTGCCTGCTATCCAACACACGCATATTATACCTGAAAGCGAGCGTTCCTTGTTGTAAACATGTCACATCGTCGTGAACTATGTACATACACACAATTAATTCAATTAATGACATTCGCATATTTTACTCATTAAATATGGATTATTGATCACGATTAAACATTTTCATTCTTTCACACCCTATATGTCAAACAAAATTTTTACATTCACGATAGATAAATATAAACGGATTTTTTATCAATTAATAGAAAACGTGTCTATTCCACTGGGAAAAATATTAGTTTATAATATTATTACACATGTAATAAAACATTATTGCAATATAATATTGTTCCATATACAGGATGAGTCATTTTAATCAACGCACGTAAATATTTCGTATAGTAAACAAGATGAAAAAAAAATGTTTCGAATAAAAGTTTTTTGACTATGAGGGGAACATAAAATGATGTTATTGATTTGACCTTGTATAATCATTTAAAGATCACGTAAAGGTCCCTTCTTAAATAGAACCTGCTATTTTTCATTACATATTCTTATAGCTTATCTAAAGAGCTTTCCAAAAACCTATAATAAAGTGTTGTTTGATAAAGTACTTTTCAAATTATAAAAGTTTAAAGTGTGTGTGTTTACAATTTTTTGACATAGAATGTAAAATATCTTGTAAAATGTTCAGTTCAAATCAATAACACCATCTTATGTTTCCCTCAAAAAATTTTTGTTTGAGACATTTTTTCCATCTTGCTTACTATACGAGATATTTACGTGCGTTGATTAAAATGACTCACCCTGTATATACACATATTCCTCCACTAGCCGCTACGTGACAAAATTATATATAAAATTATCTCATATATATTCAAATCTACGCCACAAACATATATCAAGTCTATAAAAGGTGGTTATTATAATATACAATTGAAAGTATATCTTTTAATTTCTGATACAGTCTCAATATATAAGCAATTCAGAATATTAGATAAATTGTTTGAAATTGGATGAATATAGGAAATAAGTGTTAATCTACTTCCTATTTAAAGTAAAAAACGGATTTAATTTTTATATAAATTAAATCTCAAGTGTAATGGATTATAATATAAAATATAATTTATTTTTATTATTTGTTTTATGTTATCTTTATTAAATAGCTTCTAGCTTGCTTTTAATTTTGCCAACTTTAAGGTAGTTCTATCGTTTTTCACAATTCTTAGGAATTTTTAGAAATTTTAATATGTTGTAGACGGAGTTAATATCTATCGATTACGAAATTTTGAAGTCAATTCACCGTTTAGTTTAACAGTTATTTACAATTAAAAATAGCATTTTTTCTATACACCACGTGAAAAGATGGCATTTTCATCACATTTTAATATATAACAATAGAACGGATCTTACAATTTTAATAAAAAACCAGTGGGGTATACAATACGAGTGTGGGATTATTTAAAAAAAAAATAAATTTTTTCCACCGTTTAGTTTCAAAGATATTACTTTTTAAAGAAATGAATTTTTTTCCAAACGGAACATGAAGAGAAATTGCGATGATGATGTGTATTCATACATGAGCTGTTTCTATGTGAAGAGGTTCAGACTGTACAGACTCAACTAAAATTGTTGCTACGGTAACATTGTATAAAAGTATAAACGATGAATTTCCTTATCGATTAGAGGCGAAACTTTTAGTTGATATTGTAGCGATAGAACTACCTTAAAAAGATAGAATGTGTATTTTGAAGTTACACACACACACACATACACACACACACATACACACACACATTTATATATATATATATATATATATACATATATATATCATAATTATATATACACAAATATATGTATATATAATTTTATATACATACATATATATATATATATAAAAAGAATATATATATATATATATATATATATATATATATATACATTTATTTGCTTTGCGCGCCACAATGATTTTATGTGCTTTGATTTGATATATATTATTTTGAACAACTGTCAAACTATTAACCTTCGCAATAACAGCTGTTTGATATGAATATAATACACAATGCGAATCGAGACAACCAATCAGCAACGCGGAAAAGCGGCAACAATACATGCGAGAATCGACTTCACATGCCTCTTTTACAAAAAGGACGAGCAACACAAGCGCGCGCTTTTTAATTTTTTTATCACACATATATCGCGAGACTTCCTGCAACTGATTTTTAGACTTCTTAAATAAATCTTAAATAAAAAAATAATTAATAATTCAAATTTGATGAAGTCGCCAGTAGATAAAATCAAAACACAAAGGTTTATTTTAAAATCCGACCACACTGGCAATCCTTTATTAAATTCTTAACACAACGTTTCGACCATGGGTTTTGGTCCTTATCAAGTGTACTACATAAACACAATATCGACAATAATTAGCACAATCAATTAAAAATTTTTTACAGAAATTAATAAATTAATACAATATAAACAATAGTTAACGCAATCAATTGAGTTTTTCAGAAAGCAATAATTTATTGCTTCTAAAAATTACAAAAATTATTAACATTTTACTAAATTTATGGAAATTAATAATTTATCGACTCTAAATACACAAAATTATTAACTAAATTCCGTTAGTTGTCAAAAAATGGCCAATACTTTGTAAAACAGGATAAAACGAAAAAACTTTCTGTTAAACACATCGTCATTACTCATACGAGGCTGAGAACAGACTAAGCGACCTTTATTATTTTGTCATAATTATTATTTAGATTTTCAGTGTCCTTATGTAAATTTAGTGTGTTGTCAAACTTTTTAATAAAGAACATTTCAGCAATTTCTCTTTTCCTAACGTTCTTTTTTTTATGTAATACTTGAGGAGCAGACCATTTAAAATCATATCCGCAATCAAGTTTATGTTTGCTAATTACTGAAAGAAAAAATAATCTTAAATAATTTAAATCTTAAATAATTTTTAGACTTCTTTTCATGCGAACTGTCAATTTGCAAATAACCGCAAATTAATACAAGTGACAGCTGTTCAAGACATGAACTGAGCGCATTGAAAGAACCAATCGGCATCGCGGAAAAACGGCAATAATTAACACTTCACATGCTTTTTTTCAAATAGAATAGGAATAGTTTGCTTTTCTCTAGACTACGTCGCATTTTTTATTATATAATTTTATTTATGAATTTTCTTAATATGCTTTTTTAAATATTTTTTAATATGACACTAGAGGGTCTAAAAAAAGGATCGAAACACGACTATATATTTGATCTGTAACTTCTTAGTGCATAATAAAATTACTCGCAATTATGTTGGCTCTCATTGCCATTTTCATTATCTTATTGATTATTTTTAAGTGAACCTTTATACTAACTATATTTATTTCTAATTACTTTTTAATTATTCTTTTTAATATTTTTCTTGTAATTACATGCGAAAAAATTAATTGGTATAACAAAATACACGTATAGTTGTTTTCAAGAAAAAGTATGTATAAAGTGCAACTATTTTTTTCATAGTTTAGATAGTAATATTAATTATGATATTTCATAATTTATGCATATAAAATTAAAATATAAATATGTCTATATAGTAAACTATTAACTTTTTAACCATCCTATCCTGATAACTTCTTATGCCAAATATTACGAAGAATAAATTTATTATTATATATAATATTTATTATCAATTATTTTAAAAAATAGAATGGTTTTGTTTAAGAAAACTGTGTTGACCTCTAAATGACTTTGAAAAACGCCATCTCATGACATTAGGTCTGTTTGTTTTGGCTACATTGGCTACACTAGTTCAGAGGTTGTCTTTTTTGCTCGACATTGGAAGGAAAAAGATAACTAGCTCCATTAACTTAGCCGGTCAATTTCGACTTAAAATTTTTTTTTTTTTAATCGTTTGTTGGTCGTTTGTTGGTGATTGTTGGCCCAATTGCAACGTTTGTTGGTTTATATATTTTTTTTAATTAAAAAAGAAAAATTAGCATTAAGTTAGCCGGAAAAAACTTTTAATTTAAAAACTTTTAATTAAAAAAGTCTTTTAATTAAAAAACGGTCTAATCGATGCGTAATCGTTTGTTGATGATTGTTGGTCTAATTTTATCGTTTGTTGATTTATTATTAGTCTTAAAAACGAAAAATTATCACATTGAGGCATCTACATAAATCGAATATTATAATTTTGGTTTATTGCTTACGATTTAAGGCTTATTTCTATAAATGTAAGGCTAACAGGCTATGAATACGGGCCTTAACATTGGCAGGAAATTGAAAATATTTATTTTCTTCTCTAATAGTAAGTTGAAATGATAGATTGCAAAATGTGAGATATTTATTAGACAAAGAATAAACTTGTATTTATATCTTTTTGTAATCTTCAAGTTTTTAGATCTGTATTATGTATCATCAATTCAATGCACTAGTCAAAATATAAATTCAGCATGAATATAATTATAAAAAATATTTTGACAAATTTATACATAATAATTATATACTTGGTAAGAATCCTTGCAGTTTTAGATCTGTATTATATATCATCAATTCAATGCTAGTCAAAATATAAATTCAGCATAAATATAATTATAAAAAAATATTTTGACAAATTTATACATAATAATTATATACTTGGTAAAGATTCTTGAAGTTTTTAGATCTGTATTATATATCAATTCAATGCTAGTCAAAATATAAATTTAGCATAAATAATTACAAGAAGAATATTTTGACAGATTTATACATAATAATTATACTAATATTATTTTTTTATAATTATTCATGTTGAATTTATATTTTGACTAGCATTGAATTGATGATATATAATACAGATCTAAAAACTTCAAGAGATTACAAAAAGATATAAATAGTTTTTTCTTTGTCTTATAAATATCTCATATTTTGTAATTTATCATTTCAACTTACTATTAGAGAAGAAAATAAATATTTTCAATTTCCTGCCAATATTAAGGCGTGTATTCATAGCTTGTTAGTCTTATATTTATAAAAATAAGCCTTAAATCGTAAGCAATAAACCAAAATCATAATATTCAATTTCTATAGATGCGGCCTCAATGTGATAATTTTTCATTTTTAAGACTAATAATAAACCAACAAACGATAAAATTAGACCAACAATCACCAACAAACGACCAACAAACGATTAAAAAAAAATTTTTAAAGTCAAAGTTGACCGGCTAAGTTAATGCGGAGCTAAGATAACCTCTGAACTAGTGTAGCCAGTGTAGCCAAAATAAATAGACCTATTATGTCCTTTTCGAAATCCTACAACTTTTATATAAAATTATATATATAAAGAACTAAGAAGTCACCAGTCGATAATTAAAAATGGTAATAATTTCGTCAACCATATCTGGCTATAAATACTATTTATTAACGACGTTTCGGCCATGGGTTTCGGCTCTTATCAAGTGCTACTTAATACCGCATTATTGTAATAACACTACTTGTTTGATCTTAGGTCATGACGTGATGTACTGTCATGATAATGTGTTCAATGTGTTTTATATAAAATATTTTGTATTACACGTGCAGGCAAAGTGGCACTTTGTGTGCGTGTTTTCTGTGCGGAAAGCGGCCGATTTCCCACGCCGCCATCTAGCGGCGACGCGGTGAGTGAATAAGCCGCATTCAAAGCCGTTGCCTACAGCTGAGCCGCGTTCAAAGTCATTACCCAATTGCCCACGGCTTCAGCCGTGAACAATGACTTTGAACGCGGCTATTCTCGCACCGTGCCGCCGCAAGATGGCGGCGTGCGATCGGCCACCTCGCGCACAGAAAACGCGCACAAAGCCACTTTGCCTGCACTTGTAATACAAAATAGTATGTGTATCACGTGCGGATTGATAATTGTTCACTCGTGACCAATTGTCAACTTTCCGCACTTGATACACAATATACTATTTCTCAAAAACATTTTAGTTTTTAGATAATCAAACTGTATCACTTAAAATAAAATATTCTATATATATAAAACAATGCTAAACAAATAGATTTATTACAATGTAACATCACGTGGCGCGATTTAGAATAGAATCACAAATTAAGCAACGTCATATAATTGATTTCATTTACCGTTATTTAAATCCTTACATCCAAATATACATATATATAATTTCGAAAATGGGATTGAAGTACCACGTATACATACGTAGCTATCGAGCCTTCTTGTCTCTTTCATTAACACACATCACTGTATTAGGTAATAACGTATCTAAAGGTCTGATTTATAAGCTTCCTTTGTAAGTGATCCTTAACTAAACAAGCCTGCAATTGCGGTTAACCTATTACGTAAAAGTGTAACCTATAATTCCTATTGTTAGAATTCAGATTATACGCATTTTTATATTTTATATCTTTATATTTTATATTTTATATCAATGAAATCAATGATCAAATACGTATTTTTATATTTTATATCAATGACACTAAAAACTATTCAAGTATTTACAATATTTAGGACTAATTTTATTAACACATCGCTTAAAATAAACTCCTGATCAAAACTAACATTTTTCTCTCTATTTCCGTATTATGCGGCTACAACTATACAATCTATAAATATCTAAATATAAAGTGCCAGAATATATATCAACTCGCATATCGAACTTCGTCCAAACTATATCGGCAATCTTGATCACTTGAATACAAATTTATTTACAGAAAAGCGAAAGAAAGAAATAATCAATTCACGTGAAATGTAATTATTACATCAAGATCAAGTTCCCGTCATTCCTCCTTACAAGTATAACTCAAATGCCATTCGCCGATATTCTTAAAACTTTGCACATACGTAGTACATCGGAAAACATTAAACACGTGTTTTTTTATTTTGGTGAACAAGGCGATTTAAGGTTAGAAAACGCATTCAAAAGTTTAACACCATTTAGCACAATGGTAACCCTTGTAGAAATTTATCACTAGTAACGCCAATTAATCACTTTATTTCGAGTACTTAAAATATTGATATACAGTAATTTAAGTACTTGAAATAAGTGATTAAGTACTCGAAATAAGTAATAAATTGGCGTTACTAGTAATAATTAAATTTGTATAAGGGAATAACTAACATTAGTCATGAGTGTCATTATTCTCTTACAGCTTTTACGAAAAAAAGTCGTAATCAAAATTAAAAGAATGAAGTTTCTTCGATTAAGTAGAGCTTGAAATAAAATGTCTTTTTATATTGTTGGTCTTGTCTTGTGTCAGCTTCAATAACTTTTTCAAAAAAACGTGGTTAAAATTGTCATCAAGGACGATGTCAACGCCTACGGAACGTATTAATTTCTCGCATATTAACGATGAAACTTTTCGAGATTTGATTAAAATCAAAGATCATATCGAGACGAACATTTGTTGGATATGACGGATTGAAACACGCTTTAATTGCTTATAAATTCTCGACTCTTATTAAAGAACTAACATTAATTTTCGATATTATGTGGAATTTTTGTATGATTTTGTATTTTTTAATAATTACTGTAATATAATACTGAGGAAGACCGCGTGCGGTTGAAACGTTTATTTTATAATGATTGTAATTTTCGCTTAAGTTTGAGTATAGAATGTTTGTAGCTTTCACATAATGTTTTATGTTTAGTTTATACATGGAATAAATTTTATTTGACAGAACAACTCTAATAATTGGTCGATAAATTGGCCTTTTTATCTATCACTAGTTATATTTATAATATTTACCATAATATTTATCGTAAATATTTGCTGATATTTATGATAAATATTTATGATCTATTGAATCTAAGATTCCAAAAATATTTATAAAATATTAAAATAATTATTATAAATATTCTATAAATATTTTATAAATTATTATATAATATTCTGTGCTGTCTGAGTATGACGTCAAATTGACATTATTTTGACTTTTTTGTTCTCCTTGGACTTAAAACGTCTTATTGTTTACAAAATAAAAAAACACGTGTTTAATGTTTTTCGATGTACTACGTGCATGCAAAGTTTCAAGAATATCGACGAATGGTACTTGATGAGTAGTGTTCCCAGATAGACAGGTATGCTGAACATAGTATGCAAACATTTTATATATACTTTGTAATGCAATTAGAACAGCATAAAATTACGAATTATTTTCATAAATTTTAATTGTGCATTATGATATCATATTGTTGACATATTGTATATTTGATAAAATAGTAATATGTTTCACTATACTATAATAAACATAACTGCAATTATTATATTTCTGACAAAATAAGCAGCATATTTTCGCAATTTTCACGGCATTAGAAGATTCTTTTACTTGCTGATAATACTCACGTCATATTAGGATCTGTTAAATGTTTATGCAAGCATTTTCAATTTTAAAATGTTGTCATTATGCAAGCAATCTGCTGAAATATGTCTATCTGGGGTTATTTGTTAAAATAGAAAAATTACACGGATCATCGTCCGCTATTAATAATTCTCATGACACGAGCGCCCGATATTGAATATCAAATTAATAACGTCAGAACCGGGAACGTAGGATGATGGTCCCTCACCTATGGCAGTTTTGGTGCGTACGGTGCGCGAATATCTCATGGGATGCAATATCGCCCAGTAACGATCGACGGACACCGCCACCAGGCAGAAGATGCTAATGGTGCAGAGAACCACGAGGACCGATACGGTGAATAGGCAGGCGTGCAGATTCGTGGGTAGACCGATGCTCGCGAGGATCGCGAACGGGATTGCGAAGAGGCCGACCAGTAGATCGGCCGCAGCGAGCGAGACGATGTAGTAGTTGGTACGTCTGCGTAGCTTCCGCTCCTTGCCGAACACAATGATCACCAGGCCGTTACCGAGGACGGCGCAGATCGCCACCAGAATCTCGCAGACGGTGTACGGCAGGTTCAGCTTTGTCTCAGTCCATGACGCGTTTGTCGGGTTGAAGTGATCCAGATAGTTGAATAACGTGTCGGTCGCGTTCGATGCGAATCCCATCGTCCCGACTATCGTTGAGCAAGACTGTCATCTGACAGTCTTACTAGCGCCGTCGAAGACACAACAAGCGGATGATTTTCTTCGTTGTTACTTTTCGATCTTGAAGCATGATATTGTACGATGTGGTACAGAGTCAGCCGGAGCGATCGTCATCATGTTGATTGTCGTTAATGGAATGCGATATTTTCCAGTATGACAAGTAATAGTCATTGCTTCTTCGATAGAATTGTTAGATATTTAATAATTATTACTTTCTCTCTTTTTTTTTAACTCTCGAACTCTTGTTGGGCTCATTCGCTGGAGATTGTTCAAAATCGCGGGTGTCATCATCGAGCGTAAGAAAAAAAAGACTAATTGCTTCATTACTCACGCCCTGCTCCGGAATTAACAATTCTTCTTCAGTGATTATTCTAGACTAGACACTAGAGACTCTTCTTGAAAAACGTCCCAGTCCTTTTTAATTCTATTATCTTTAAAAATACCGTGCCTATCGATTTTTGAAAGAATTCAAATGTGTTGTGCTACCAATTCTATGCATCACCATCTACATTTAATTAATTTTTTCTGGTTTTATAATCCGGTTTATTCTCGCAGTTCTTTGATATTTTTAACAAATAATGAATATTCTTATTATATATTTTTATTATATATTCTTATATAAATTTTTTTGGTCTTATGGCTTCTGATCGTTCTTCTCGCATCAAAGTAGAAGAGGATCGATCGGTCGCTCATTCGCGTGATACATTCATGGACGTTGCGTTTCCTGTCCATTTACTTATATGGGAGGAGCAGCGAAATCGAGTTAAGATGGATTTCCGCACGATATCATCTAATAGGACCGTATTTTGTGTCACGCGAATTCGCAGACGCGCCGTCACGTCGCTACAAAGCAAAGTTAGGAAGCCGTTTTCATATTCATGTACTCAGCATATCACATATATCTTCTCTCACGATCACGTTACTTTTTTCATTATTACTCATTATTTAAAGATCATTTTATTAACATTATTTTTAGATATCCACTAGATTGTTTTTCACAGCGATAAAAACAACGAAAGAAAGAGAAACAGAAATGACACTAATTGAAGAAAATAATATCACAATTGCACAATTAAAAATTTTCTTTTTAATTAATTCGCGTTATTCATTCATGTGCGTCCTCGAAAGAGCGGGAAAAATTATTGCACAAAGTCTGTCGCTTCTCGATCGATCGAATATATTTAGCTGAATATATACTTATGTAAATTCTATTTTATGTTATATGGTAAATATTTTTATGTGGTATTATAATTAACTTGTGGTATACACATAGATAAGATTCTTTTCTTCCGCAACACGCGAAACCGTGAAAAACACTACAACAAAGCTGAATAAGCGAACGCGTCCGCCTTCGCAACCCTGTTGCGTGTGACTGAGGTGTTCCTTGTGACGGTAGAAAACATGAAGTGAAGGTGGAGGTGGAAGTCTCCAGCTCGTGCTCTTCCTTCCGCCTTCGTTATTAAAACGTCGAGTCAAGGAAAGGTCCCTAATAGCACACATATCCCGAAGGCGTTCAGAGAACATCCTCAGGATGTTCGAATATCCTCTGGATATCCTCTGAATATCTTTCGGATATTGTTGTGCTATTAGGGGTTGCACTTGATGGGTGTATTTTTTTCGCATTTGCAATACGTCGTTTCATCTCAATTTTAACGTGGATTTTCTTATAATTTAATAATATATTAGTTCGTTTATCGCTCGTAACAGATTTACGATCATAGATTTGTTCGTTTTAGCTGAACTGACTGCGCTAGTTCAGAGTTTATCTTTTTCCTTCCAATATGTTGAGTAAAAAACTTTACTCGACATATTGGAAGGAAAAAGATAAACTCTGAACTAACGCAGTCAGTAAAGTTTTTTACTCGACATATTGGAAGGAAAAAGATAAACTCTGAACTAGCGCAGTCAATTCAGCTAGAACGAACAGACCTTATATTAAGCATATATCCCAATTTTTTCCTATTTTTGTTTTTGTTTTTCTAGAAGCTACATTCCCTTTCAGGGCTGACGAGAGGGGGGTGGTGACGGGGTGATTTCCCCCGGGCCCGGATTTTTTTAAAGGGCCCGAAATTTTTGAGAATCCGAATTTTCTAAATGCTCATTGTTTTCAAAACATAGTTTCTTGTTTTTTTGTAAAAAATTTATCTAAATTAATATAGATTAAGAATAAATTTGCAAGCATTTAGTTAAAGATGTTTATAACGTATTCAATTTACTGATTCGACCCGTTGATCTTTCTTTCCCTGCATTCTTTTTTTATTTTGATAATACCTACACAAAATGGGGGCCCGTAATTTTTTCTCCCGGGCCCGGTTTTTCTCTCCACGGCCCTGTTCCCTTTAATGCCATCCTTGATATGTCTTTTAAATGCGGAAAGCTCAAGGAAACATGTATGACAGATTTATTATGCGATTATAATTTAATTTTGATTGAAAAAATATATTATAAAATATATTTGATAGAAAAATTACATACATGAATAAATTACATTTGGTATCAAAATAAGATGAAATTTTTACATCTTCAGTATTTATAGAGAAAAACGTGACTTATTATACGTTGATAACTCCTTGTAACAATCAATAGATACAATATATAGCCTGTAGTAGTTATAAAAAAATTTATATCTGACGTAAGTCATTACTCTTGCATGCTTATGATCATGCAATCGTATTTGCAGTAAAAGCAGTTGAGCGACAGATAACAAACAAGGAAATCAATTGTTTATAGGAGAACAAAGTAGGCAGACAAAGTAGTAAACAATTTATTCATTTTGTCCGCGATATTTCTTCAGTCTGCTTCATAACAGAAATATCATTTCATATATAAGATTTAACCTTTTGCTATATTTTATAAAATATAATACATTTTTATGTAATTATATTCGAATATCAAAAACAAAAAATTTGTATTAATTTGTTTTTGCAGATACAATGAGTAATGTTATCAGGGTTGGGTAATAACTAAGTTAATTAGTTAAAAGTTAAAAAGTTAATAACTTTTAACTTAGCTTAGTTAATTTAAAATGTATTAATTTTTAACTTTCAACTAGTTATATTTTTGATTTTAAACTTTTCTCCTCATAAGTTAAATTTGTTTTATCTTTGAATACCATTATTGTTTTTTATAAGTTAAAAACTATTATTAATTTTTATGTTTATTTGTTATCAATTGTAATTACCAAAAAATATATTTCTATATAAAAATCAAAATTTCTTTATTTGTTGTTATAAATTTTAAAAGAATTAACAAAAAAATTCTAATTTAATATAAATAATGTTTTCAAAAGTTAACTTTTGATTTAACTTTAGTTAATAAAATCTTAACTTAACTTTAACTGAGTAAATTTTTTGTTCATACAACTTATTTTACCTTAACTAAATTAATTTTATAAACAATTAACTTTAACTTAACTTAGTTTTAAAAAATCATCAACTTACTCTATTTTACATTATTTTACAAAATATTACCAATCTGGTAAAATAACGTAAAATATGTAGACTATCGTAATTTCGAACATATTGTCGCAAATTTTCATAAAAGTAAAATTGTCCGATTTCATAGGATCCTCGCGTGCTAAATTTATTTAGAGTGTAACAGTTATAAAAATGACGGCCATCGACTGTAATTAATAGATATATATGATGCGTGCGTAATAATCAGTCGCAAGCGCTTGATGATGAGGCGCACGAATCGAACATTTGTTATCACCTGACATTATTAAACATCGATAAAATCGGGGAAAGGGGTAGTAGGGATAGAATTACTCTGTCAAGGCTAACCAAACAATTGAGTCAGTACATACATTTGTTACTCTCTCTCTCTTTTCTTTTTACGGGGAAGTCAGTATATACATACCAATAAACGCGAGTGAATGTGAATATATACATATACACATATACCGGGTGTTTATGAAATACTTGGACAAATTTCTAGGACGTATTTTTCACGTGAAAATAAAAAAGAAAATATACTCATCCTTTTGTAAAAAAGGCATGCAAAGTCGATTCTTGCATGTATTGTTACCGCTTTTCCACGTTGCTGATTGGTTGTCTCCATTCGCATAGTGCTATATTCATATCAAACAGCTGTCATTGCAAAGATTAATAGCTTGTGCGAAGGTTAATAGTTTGACAGTTGTTTTAAATAATATTAAATCAAAGCATATATAATTAATGGCGCGCGCGAAGCGCGCACTTGTGTTGTCTAGTAGTACAAAAAATAAGTAATGGCGAAATTATATTAGTAAAATGAAGTTTGTTAATGTTTCATTATTAAATTATAAGTATATAAACACCCTGTATATATATCTTCTCTTTTTTCTCCTATAGTAGTTGCAAAAAGCATCAGTCTTACTTATTCTAACCGCGAATATTAATGTAAATATTTCACGAGTTCTTCTTTTGCCATTTTTCCAACAAGTATTTTATCGACTTGTAAAATTTATCTATTAGTAGAATTTTCCATCTTCTTACGAGTAATTATCTACAGACCATTTAAGCGAATGAAAATTCTTGTACGTGTTTTATCTTGTCTTTTTAATCCTTCGAGCTATTTGTCTTTTGGAGCATAATTCAATTTACAGTCAAATATTTAAGTTATCCTTTCATTGTTGAACACTTATTTTATTTCATTTATATTAATTTATATTTTATCCGTGTAATATGATTTTTTGAAATCTTATAGCAATATTTATAACAAAAAAAGTAAAAAACAAAATGCAATATTTATTATTGAAAAACTAGAGTATTAAAAAATTTATATTACAATATATACACATTATTTATTTTCTTACGCTCAGTGTTTGTTGTTTATTAAATAAAATTATATATATATATATATATGTGTGTATATATATATATATATATATATATATATATATATATATATGATTATCTAGATGAAATTTTTGCATTATCTCATATCTTTATGTAGATAATAAAAATATGAATTATCTCTATATCTACATCTTACAGATGAAAAAAGTGTTATTTCTAATTATCTAAAATAATGTTCAGATAATTAATTTGGTTTAGAGTTATAGCACATAAAAATGCTTAAGAATTATAATAGAAGCGTTAAGCGATATAAACTTTATAAAGAAAAGTATGAATATTTTTATATCTCTTTTATAATTTACATTCTTTTTATAACTGTTTACATAAGCAATTTTAAAAATAATATTATCTAGAAAATTATCTAGAAAGTTATCTAGAAAAATCGCTATATAATTTTATCTTTTATCTAGATATATTTAAAACAAAATCATCTTTATCTTATCTAAGATGAATTTACATATTTTCATCTTATTTTTATCTAGATAATTTGAAAATTATCTAAGCACACTTATTATCTATATAACATATTACGTGAAAACTTTATCTAGATGATTATCTAATTGTAATTTCATTTAGATAACAGCAAACACTGTCCACAATTTATTTATACAAATATAGAATATAATCACGATTGCTGTCAGAATCGAAATTAATTTTATTGACAACCACACAATAGTATCATATAATAATAATAATAATAATAATAATAATAAAATAATAATATAATAATAATAAAATAATAATAAAATAATAATAATATATTAATATAATAAAATAATAATAATAAAATAATAAAATAATAATAATAATAATAATAAAATAATAATAATATAATTTATACTGATGAGTCACTGCGCTTCAGTGCATGGCGTCTGAAAAAACAGCGGAAGGCTGTACTTACAATTAAACACTTCCATTCGCGCTGCTAGTGGCTTTAACGAACGGTAAACGAGTTTATTTGTAAGAATTCGTACATATTCATTGTCCATAACTGGCATATAACAGAGCGCTTGACATTGCATAAAGGATCTCTAATTGCACCGCGAAGCTAAATGACTTGTTCTCTAGCTCTTTCTCTCTCGCGCGCGCGAGCAGCAGCCTCTCGATGAGCGCTATCTAAATCGAAAATAGGTCGTCTTCGTGTTACATCGACCATGTGTAAATACACCCTTGAATATGTACTATGGAGTGTATGTGTAATGGTTTAATACGACTAATGCGTTGCGCCGGAAGATAGGCTTAAATGCAGTGCCGTATTTCCGATCGTCGGATCCATCAATAAGGCCAATCTATTTACGTATATGTATAGGAAAAAGTGAAATAAATTTGAAAATCAAAAGACACACGGTAAATTTCCCGTCAAAAGTTAGCAGGATAAATTTAATTGGGAAAGCAAAACAATTTTTGCCAGAATAAAAAATTTAAGCCTATCTTCTGGCGCGACGCATTTTACACATACACTCGGTAGTACATATATATATAAATATATTATATACATGTGTATATTAATTTATATATATATATATATATATATATAAATTAATAAAAGAGATATAAAAATATATTCATACTTTAATTTATTAATAGTTTACGCTGCTTATAAGTTCTACTATAATTAAGTATTTTTATGTGTAACAAATATAAACCAAATTATCTGAATATTTTATATTCTAAATAATTTAATAAAGATAATACTTTTTTCATCTAAGATACAGATATAAGATAATACTTTTTTCATCTAAGATACAGATATTAAGATAATACATATTTTTATTATCTATATAAAGATAAAATAACACCAAAAATTTATCTTTATTTATTATAGTTTTTAATATTTATATTTGATAATTTTTGGGTTTTCTTTTTTATTGTCAACTACCTAAAAGCTTAAAAAAGGGGGAATATTTATTAGATTTAAGAAATAAATTAAAGTTATTGATTATGAAGGCGGGATACAATATAAATTATATATGTTTTTAACATTCTTGGATCCTCGTCATGTTAGATTATGTGACGTTAGAGGCGAGAAAACGCGCGCTAAAATTTTTAGGCGCCATATTTTATATTTTACAGCTGTTGATTCATTATAAAGAGAAAAGAATATATGGTTTTCGAGGTATTTTTTAAGAGTATGCTAAAGCCATATGAAATGCTGTTTCATCGAAATATCTTTTTATTTCGAAATGACATCTATTGTAAGCTTAAGAATTTTAGTCTCGCCGCTAACGTCACAATTCTAAAAAAAATGAAAATTATATATTAATGATAAAGGGATATACAATAATATAAATTTTTTTTAAGTTCCATAAAAAATACGCATATGAGGAAGAAGTCGAGAATTATTATATAGGTATATAATACTGTTTTAACGAAGCGGGATCACAAAACACATGAAAAGTAACGTGAGCTTTATTTATTGTAAAAAAGTAATAAAGATCAGCTGTGTTTTTTCTCGTTTATAGGAAAAGACTAGAAAATTATTAAAATGCGCGCAAGAAAGAATCAGAAAATAATATAAAAACGCACGAAGGGGGCCACGTGGGTGCGATATTTAAAAAGATCTAATTAAAAACTAACCTCTAACAGATCCACGATATTTACGCGATGTCATGCTTACTTAACTGCATGCTTTACTTTTATTACAGGCTACGCATGACGTAAAACTGAATAAATTAACACATAACACGCTATTTCCTTACCTTTTTCTGTTAAAGAGATAATTATATTTCTCTATGTTCTTTTTATTGTGTACAGATATGGTAAATTCGCTCGAGAAAAAGTCCATATATTCCATATATAAAAGTCCATATATTATAATTAAATATATAAACATAAATATATATGATATTAAAAATAAATATATATATAAATTTAAATTTTTATTATTTCTAAAAAATGTAAAAATTATACTTCTATTTATTTTCTCAATTATTCTTTTTATATTTTTGTATAGATGATATAAAAATATATTCATACTTTTATTTATAAATTTTATCGCTTATTATTACGCTGCTATTATTAAGTTCTATTACATCTACTTAAATTATCTCTATTCATTTTTGTACATACAAAAATGAATAGAGATAATTTAAGTAGATGTAATAGAACTTAATAATAGCAGCGTAATAATAAGCGATAAAATTTATAAATAAAAGTATGAATATATTTTTATATCCTTTTTATAATTTACATTTTTTTTATAATTATATATTTTTATAAGCAGTCTTAAAAATAATATTATCTGAAAATTATATATTTAAATAAATATATATATATATATATATATAATTATATATATAAACATATTTTCATCTCATCTTAGCACAAAAAATAATCAATTACTTGCATGTGCTTTTGTAAACGAGAGACAATTCGGTTTTCTCGGGCCTGATTCAAATACTGAACCTTTATTTCGCTCGGAAGAGTTCGCCATTTCTTTGAGATCTGCTTATATCTGTCAGCCCATACTGTGCAAATTAAAAGCAAAATTGAAAGATCAGCTTGTTCGTTGCAATCTGTTGCAATTTGCACTTTTTTGCATACAAATTGCATCCACAGAAGATAAAATAAATACAGGGTGTCCCATAGCAAATTGCTGAAATTAATTAACTTTTATTTTTTAATGCATGTAGTTATTGAGAAAACAAAAATTGTATTAGAAAGAAGAAAAGAATGCAGTTTTTAATGATTACGGACTAGCAACACAAGCGTGCGCCTCGCGCGCGCCATTAATATTATTTTAATTTTTTTATCACACATATATTGCGAGACTTCTTGTGCAACTGATATTTAAACTTCTTAAATAAATTAAATCTTAAATAAATGTTACATGAAAAAATAATCTTAAATAAATTAAATCTTAAATAATTTTTAGACTTCTTTTCATGTGTACTGTCAATTTACAATTAACCGCACATTAACACAAATAACAGCTACTCAAGACATGAACTGAGCACATTAAAAGAACCAATCGGCATCGCGGAAAAACGGCAACAATTAAAGCGTCACATGCCTTTTTTCAAATAGGACTAGAACAAAACAAAGCGCGCGCTTCGCGCGCGCCATTTATTCTGTTAATTATGTATTTTTAATGACATATATACTTACTTTATGAACATAATTAACTTCTTGATACAGCTGTCAAAATTGAAATAACAATCGAAGTAAGTGTGGCGAGGGAAGAAATAACATTTTGCAAAAAAGGCAGTAATAGTTTGATGGATTCAAGTATCCAATATGTATAGAAAAATATACAATAATTATATATTATATAAATAAACATATACATTATAGTAAATGTTCAAAAAAGTCAAGATGATCTTGTCCTGACTATGCCAACGTCGTCCAATGTTAAAATAATAAGATCTGTAATTAGATCTTCATAAACTCTGCAACTTTTATCCAAAATACTTTTCTGTATAACTTATTATTTTCTACATTTTCCAGGGATTCTTTGTCTCAGCATGTACACACACACACACACACACACACACACACACACACACACACACACACACACACACACACACACACACACACACACACCCGCACGCACGCACGCACGCACACAAGGCACGAATTTTACTTGGTCACTGACAAGACTTAAATATATGGAATAATCTCATCTTTGAGATTTAATTCCATTGAACCCCCTCTGACCCCCCTTAAAGAAATAAATACGAGAAAAATATAGATCCAAAAGTGGCTGAATCGGGAATCGAACCCGAGAACCTTATATTTAAGAGAACCTAAATATTTAATATTTTATTATTAAAATATTAATAAAATAAATGTTTATTTCACGTTTATTACATATTTATTTTATTAATATTTTTAAAAAATATAACAATTTATTAATATTTTTAAAAAATATAAAAATATATAAAATATTTAATAAACGTTAAATTAATATTTATTATACATTAACATATAAAAGTAAACTTTTTTTAATGAATAAAAAGGGACTTAACCAATTATTTTAACATTTTTTAAATAGCTTTTAAAATGAGTTTTAAACATTTTTTATACATTTATTTGCTACTTCGTAGTGGTTGCTTACTGAAGCTGTTTATGTAAACAAATGGAGAAGTTTGCACTCTCTGTTTCTCTCTACGCAGATATAAAGTGAATCAAAAATATTGTTTTTAAAATTTGTGAGCTTGTTCCTTTTTATGCAAGAATACACAAATTTTTTAAACATACTTTTGACTCACCTTGTACACACACACCGATTACACTTATTACTTTTAATGATGATATAATTTTTACCTGTTGTGATGAATTTTCTTCAAATTTCTTTTTCTTTAACGTGCGATTAACATTTATTATAGTAGTCAAAGACATTCGCTCTTCTAATTTCTTAATGTCTTTTAGACTTTGTACTGAAAAGTACGGTGGATCAACTGTAAATAATTATTACACAGTTATTATATATAAAAATAAAATATATATGTATAATTTCGAAAAAGAATGTGTGTGTATACGAAGGAAAGGGAACAAGGAAATCATTTTAAACAATTACTTAAATATTTAATAATGTTATTGAATTTAAAATTTGTTAATTTAATGTTGTTTGAAAGTTTGTAAGTTCAAAAAATAAATGAATTTATCTATAATTCTTTAATTTAGTTGATAATCGAAGATATAAATTTATTGACATTTTTTGATTTACAAAAACATTTTTAAGAAGCCCTTAAATTTATTATTATATTTTTTTGAAACACCATGATTACGAAATCAAAATATCAAAGCAGAAAAGTTTAAAATTAATGAAATTGAAATTAATAATAATAATAATAAATATTTAAACATTTCTTACTTGCATATTGCATCTCGCCAATTACTTTAATTTTATCTCCTTTCATAAGTTCATAATCGTTTTCTTCAAAATTTGTAATATGTACTTCTAATTTAAAGTACCCATCAGTGATGGATCCACATCCAATTTTCTTATTCAAATTAGTTTTATAAATTGGTCCAAAATTGGACTTTATATAGCCCTCTAATGCTATAAAAGAAAAAATATATAAACATATATAAATATATAAATATATAAATATATAAACATATAAATATATAAACACATATAAATATATAAACATATAAATATATAAACATATAAATATATAAACATATAAATATATAAACACATATATACAGAGTGAGTCTAATAGAAAATTCATTACGTTCTTCTCAAAAAGAAAAGGTTAAAGATATATATATATATATAGGATATATATATATAGGAATATATAAAGGAAGATATAAAGAATAATATATATTATCAAAATTATAGGTTTAAAAATATCTATTTACAAATCTTATCACTTTGACCTTAAATGGTGTTGCCAAGGTCAAGACAAAAACTTGAATTTTTTAAATAGAATCACCATACTATTTTATACAAATCGATTTCTATAATATTCTGTATAAAAAGTTATAAAAGTAAAAAGGTCAAAAAGTGAATAGTTTACGAGATATTTCATATTTTAATTTGACATAATCTTACATAAATTATGAAATATATATATATATCTTGTAAAATATTCATTTTTCAATAATCTTATCCTAATACTTTTATGTACAAAATGGCTTCTAGTTCAAAATTACATATTTTTTCTTAAAAACAATTATGTATTTTTTCTAGACTAATCGATTTTTCTCATTATTTTATTCATAAAAATATTAAGATAAGATTATCAAAAAATGAATATTTTAAGAGAAATTTCATAGTTCATGTAAGATTATGTAAAATTAAAATATAAAATATTTTATAATCTATATATTCACTTTTTAATCATCCTACTCTTTTATAACTTCTTATACAGAATATTACAAGGAATCAATTTATAAAATAATAAAAATATATGATGATCTTATTTAAAAAATTCAAGATGTTTTTACTTTGACCTTGGCAACGTCATCCAAGATCAAAGTGATAAGATTTGTAAATCGATATTTTAAACCCTAATTTTGAAAATAGATATTTTCTATATCTTCCCCTATCTCTAATCGTTTTTGAAAAAAACGTGGTGGACTTTTTATCAGACTCATCCTGTATATGTATATATTCAGGATGTTCGATTTAATCGGTCTACACCAATATTTCGAAAAATATAGAAAATACGAAAAAAATGTTTTATACAAAAGTTTTATGACTTTGAGGGGGACAGACAGGATATCATTGGTTTGATCTTGCATAATCGTTCGAATCTTACGTGAAGGTCACTTTCAATTTCTTAAATGGAAACCCTTATTTTTTAATGCATATTCTTGTAGTTGCTTATTTCGAGAGCTTTCCAAAACACTATAATAAAATACTTTCCTCTTAAGTACTTTTTGAGATATAAAGCTTACAGTTTACAATTTTTTAACATAAAACATAAAATTTATTTATATATCTTGTAAAATATTCAGTTTTCCGTAATCTTACTTTAAGGGGTAACACCACTCTAGCGGTCGAAAAAAAGACCTAACTTTGACAATTTTTTTTGAGAATATAATAAAAGGAATGGGAATTTTTCTTGAGAAGGTTTATTGAGCATATATTTAAGTATAGAAAAAAATTTTTTTATTATTTTTTTTATACAAAATGGCGACGAGAGAGACAATCTTCAAAATGACGTTTTTAAAAAACGCTTCCATTAGCGAACCAATTTCTCGTGAACTATAAGACCTAGAATAAAAAACCAAAAAAATTTTAAATCTACATACTATTGCCTATAGAAGTACGTAGGGATTTTTTATTTTATCAAATTTTGCAGAAACGGTGCACTTTTGAAAAAAAAATTCAATTTTATGCCAAAAAATAAGCAGTAAATTGTTTATAAAATAAAAAGTTTACATTGAATCGAAAAACCCCTACGTACTTCTATAAAGGATGTAATTGTGAAGCTACTGTCAAATTTTCAAACTGATCCATGCAACCGTGTTGAAGTAATGTGTTCGCTAAGATTGAAAAAAGTGGTTTCGAGAAAAACGCGTTTAAAGTTTCACGAGCACTTAAAATGCTTGAAATTTATGTTTACCTTTAATCAGCGATGCCTGTACTGAAATACAAGTTTATTTTGGCAGTAGCGTACCCTGGTGATCTTTTGAGTAACTCAAGCATCTTCTGCACTATAAATAACAGGGCCACTTATTATCCTGAAAGGTAAAACAGGATGACAAAAGCGATGAATCCGAACGCGCCGCGTTAAGGCTCAAGCGGCGCTCCGAGGCGCTGCGGAAAAATCGTTGGTAGAGGCTTTTAAAAAATTTTTTTTACTATAAAACCAAGTGCATGTTATTTTTATGATGTTAAAGCATTGTTTAAAGCAAAAAAAAAAATTGATTTTTTCAAAATCCTAGAGTGGTGTTACCCCTTAATACTTTTATGCACGGAATAATGAGACCAATTAATTGATATAAAAAAAACAAATAAGTATTTAAAAAAAATGTAAGTAATTTGCCACTGCAACTGCACACTTTTTTTTAATGCAACTATGTATTTTTTTACACTAATTGATTGGTTTCATTATTCTATGCATAAAAGTATTAAAGTAAAATTGCTGAAAACTGAATGTTTCACAAGATATTTTGTATTTTATGTAACTCAAGAAATATTTAAGAGAAAAATATTTTATTATATTGTTTTGGAAAGCTTTCGAGATAAGCTACAAGAATAAGTATTCAAAAATAGGAGCTTCCATTTAAAAAATAGAAGTTGATCTTCATGTGACCTTCAAACAATTATCCAAAATCAAACTAATGATACCATTTTTCGTTTCCCTTGAAGTTATAAAACTTTGGTATAAAACATTTTTTTTTGTATTTTCAATATTTTTCGAAATATTAAATAGTATTATGAAAAATGAATAAAAATAAAAAGAATAATAATAAACAATTCATGAGTATGAGAAGGCATAAGATTGAATTGTAATTTACCGACTCTTGATGATGTATTCATTACATCACAAAACTCCACAGCTCCGGTTCGATTAAATTGGTTCGTTCCATATTATATTTCCCCAAATTGGAGATTGTTGTATTACTCTGGATCTGTAGCTCGTAGGGCACATTGCCGTTATTATATGAAATTTTAGGAGTACGAGCCTGCACTCCGTCTAAATGAATAATCTATAATATAAATTTTATATTAATTAAAAATATACAAATAATTAACTTATTGAATTAAAATCAAATTTGAAAAATTTCTTAAATAAATAACATACGTATATATATATATATATATATATATATATGTATTTATTTATTTTTTATGTTCCTTTTGTATGTTTCTTTCGTAAAAAATTCGAAAATTTATATTATTTAAAAAATTCAAAATTTCATGAAAAATGATCACCGATCTTCATTAAATTTAATAGCAACCATTCTTTATTCTTTAATGATACTCTATTTAAGTAAAAGAATTTACCTCGATATGTCAAAATTTATAGAAGTTAGAACAATCACAAACATTTATCGAAAAATTAAAATTGCATTAAGATTTAAAATACTATATAAATTTTTATAAAAATGGTAATAAATAAAAGTATTGTACTATTTTACTTGTATGCCAAAGTGGAGTGCTGTAGCTCAAACAATTCTTGAAACGTTTAAATTTTCGGAAAAGTGAGTCGGCAGACATATATACATACACACACATAGATATTTTTTAATGTGATTTTTTGATGGTTTGGAAAATTCTGAACACATTGATCTGAAAGAATTTTTTCACGAAAACTAAGTTTCCTCTATGAGAAAGCAAAAAAAAAACAAATACTCACGTGGTTTAATTTTACATGTGGTTCTACGGGTGTAATATCGTCATTCCACACGACAACTTGTACTCGCCTCCCTTCGCCATTATTAATATAAAATTTAAAAACTTTATATTGTTTCTTGTCGCCAACATAACGTGAGGCTTCAATACCGTCTACAAAGCCTACTACCTCACTACAAAAATAAAGAAATTAAAAAGTATAAAAAAAGTAAAGAAAAATTAAAGTAGTAAAAAATTTTAAAAATTAAAAAATAAAAATAAAAAATTTTACATATTATATAATATGTAAATAATTATTTAATACTCTTCCAGTATTTTTATATATTTTTTAATAGAAAAATATATTAAAAAAATAAATTATATTTATATATTATATATGTGTGTAACGTAAACTTTTTAGAAAGTATGAAAAATGAAGAATTTCCTCAGATTCAACTCAAAAAAATGCCAAACTGTCTTTTAATAAAACCATAGAAATTATGTTTCAATTAAATTTTAAATTAAATTAAATTATAAAATATTCTTTTAAATTTAATTATTAGAAATTAAACTATTTGATTTTATATATAAACGACCACATCAAAACACATTTTAACTCATGGACAATGAAGGAAGAAAGAATTTCGAATGGAAAAAAACACTACATTGGAAATTGAAGAAAAAAGCGACTGAAAAATCAGACACAAGTTAGTGTCGAAACGTCTCGCGTATTTTATTTTATATTTATATTATTCCATCATTGATTTTAATATCTCACATTTATTGTAATTATTGCATATATTATCATGATATAAGAATATTAATTTTTATAAAATCAAATAATTAAATTTTAGAATAATTAAATTTAAAAGTATATATATAAGAATATTTTAGAATATAAGTTGTAAAAAAGTAATAAAATACATGTAAGAAAATGTAGCACACACGCGCAAATAACAATAAAATATAAAAAATATAAAATTTAAAATAAAAAATTACAATAGGAAAGAGTTTTTTACATAACATTATAAAATGCAATTTACAATGCAAAATATATTAATATTAAATTAATAATAAAAACAATAAAAATATTAACAAAATATAAAATCAAGTAAAAGACAAAAGAATTTGAAATAATTTGTATTTTGGAATTTTATTTTTTTGTCTTTTTATTATTCTACAACAGAATTTGATATAATTTGCATATTTCGACCGATTTTTGAAAATTACTGCCTACCTCTTATATCTTGACGTTTTAACAACAAATCATCTAACAGCTGTAACTAAGCACGCAGCGTTCTGTCTCAGATACGACGCATTTATGTAACACAACGTGATTTCATATCCCCCGTATCCTCAAGATATTTTTAATCTATTGCATATAATTTAATATTTTAGGATTATTATATCGTAAATGTAATTATTAATTAAGAATTAAAATTTTGTTACTAATTAAACTATTTAAAAAGAAAGATTTTAAAGATCGCATTTAAAAACATTGATATTTGGCAGTCACGGGAGATACAGAATCACGTCGTGTTAGAGATGCGTACCTGAGACAGAGCGCTACGTGCTTAGTTAGGCTGTTAAACAGTTCGTTGCTAAGACGTTAAGACGTAAAGGGAAGGCGGTAACGGTGACTCTCAAAAATCAATCAATATATGCAAATTGTGCCAAGCTCTGTTTTGTATAAAAATGTTAAAATGCATAAAAATATTAAAATAATTATCTGTTGAAATATTTTATATGTTAAACAATCCTTAACAGTACAATTCTAAAAATGAAGCGATATAAATAATTAACAATTTGAACATAAATTAAACAGTTAATTATCATAAACTATTTCTGTTTCTGTATATTAATTGTAAAATAAATTGTAAAATATTTTATATAATAATGATTTCCTTTATAATTTAATCTTTTTTATACGTAAAAATGATAAGAATTACATAAAAATGTGTTTTTAATTAGAAATAATTAAATCAAAATTTAATACTCACACAGTTGAATCGAAAACTTGAATATTATTTAAAACTTTATTTAAAGTTAAAACTTCCATCCCGTCTAATTCTTTTACTTCTTTTCTAAGATCTTCCTGCATTATTGCTAATAATTCTTTCTTCTTCGATATTGCGATGTTACTTGTGAAAACGTCTGGTTGCTACTAATGAAAATCAGTAATTAATGTTGACCTGTAATTAAGATAATTAAATTAATCTGTATGATTATAGAACATTACAATAAAGCTGATAATAAAATTTTTAATTTATTTATATTTTATAATATAAATAAATAATATTAATATATGTATATAAATAAATTGTAATATATATATATATATATACACATATAAAAAATATATAAAAAATAATATATATATATAATATAAATATATAATATATAATATAATAATATATATAATATATATATATATAATATATAATATAAATTAAAAGTAAATAAGTTATAAATAAATTTTGGTTATGTCATTAATATAACAGAATTTAAATAGCGTTATATGATGTATATATATATTAATGTGTGAGTGTGTAACACATTTTATATATAAAAGTATTATTATACTTACCGCGTATCTTTCGAAGTTTGTCTTAAAAATTCTTCTTCGTAATTATTTTCTCTTATTTTATTTTTGCATTGCACTGTTAATATAACCTTCGCAATGTCAAATGACAAATAGTATTTAAATAACACGAAGCATGTAACACCGTAAAAACCAATCAGAGCGACGGAAAAGAGGCAACAATACACTTCGAGACTTTCGAGAGGCCTTCGATACATTCGAGAATCGACTTAACATGCCTTTTTAAAGAAGGATATAAATAAAATGTTTGTATATTAGTTTATTTTATTGATAAAAAGTAATGAAAAAGTGTTAATAATCACATAAAATATATCACATAAACTAATATGATAAATATTTTCAACAGTGCCAGATTTAATAGCAACTATTAAAAGGATAGTCAAAAACATTAAAAATGACATGTTTTTGCGAGTTTTCGTAAAAGAACAGAATTTTGTACAATTTCAAATAGTACATACTTTTTTCGAAAATATTTATCATTAGTTTATATATATATATATATATGTGTGCTCAGCTAACCATTTGCTTGAGAATTATTAACAATTGGGAAACAATTTTCTGCCAAATACAGCTGCAAATCCAGGGCCTACTGTATCCTCGAGTGCGCCCCAAATGCAATCAAAAGTTGAAAACATATTCTAAAAAAAACATATATAATCTTTTTAACTACTTTTAACACATCTATGTGCTATTTGTTGTCAAATTAACATTTCATCAGATCAGCAGGATCTGCCGTTTCTGGCATCAATCTTTTATCAACGATTTTGACAGATCTGCTTGTTACTCATTGCCATTTTGTCAATAGTCTGCGAACTGATGTTGGGAAATATTTATTGAATTTATGCTTACAGTGTTTGCAAAGACAAAATATGTTTCTCATCTGTGGCCATTTAACAAAAGTTGTTGCCTACATTTGTCTCCGTAGAAATGGTTAGCCGGGTAATTAATAGGACTTTTTACTTTTTTCAATAAAATAAACTGGTATACAAACATTTTATTTATATTCATTGAAAACTGTAGATTTTCCTCTTAACAACACAATTTTTGTTTTCTCAATAACTGCACATGTATTAAAAATGATAGCTGATTAGTTTCAGCAATTTCCTATGGGACACCCTGTATTTAAAAGTTCTAATAAAAGTAATAATTAAAAGATGAAGGATCCTACCTCATAGTTTCTTATCTGGATATTCAGTTTTCCATTCGGGATGATTGAGATTAGCATAAAGCACCAGTGACATCGTGGCTCTGCTACTATTTATATTTCGGGAACTGGCAACACTGATGTCATGTGAGTCCATCTAATGGTTCCATTGTAAAGTTTGACATTTTTGACGATATACGTACTCAGAACATTTTGTCATACGGATGCTATTTGTTTATTTTATATTTAGTTGAAAGTTTCGTCTCGGCAAAAGATGGAACTGAATCGTGAACATTTTCGTGCGATGATTTTTTACGATTTTCCACGTGGATTATCACAACAAGAGTGCATCAATCAACTTAATTTGACTTTTGGCGATGAAGCTCCATCAAAAACCACTGTGTATCGCTGGTATAGTGAATTCAATCGTGATCGTAGTTCGCTGTCCGACGAGTTTCGTGAAGGTCGTCCAAAATCGGTTGTAGTGCCAGAAAACATCGATGCTGTGCACGAAATGATTAAGCAAGATCGTCATGTAACCTATTGTGAGATTGAGGCATCCCTAAGCATTAGTTCCACCAGCATATATGCGATTTTACATGAACACTTAGCTGTGCAAAAGTTATGTTCGCGTTGGATTCCACATAATTTGACAATCGCTCAAAAAAAGGCTCGTGTCGATTGGTGCAAAGAAATGCTTAAGAAATACAATCGCGGTGCTTCAAAAGACGTTTATAAAATCGTGACAGGTAACGAATCATGAATATATTTGTATGAGCCCGAAAGGAAGCAGCAGTCGACTGTATGGATGTTCCAAGATGAACCAAATCCAACAAAAGTTGTTCGCGCACGAAGCACTTCAAAGAAAATGGTGGCTTGTTTCTTCGGAAAAACTGGTCATATTGCAACAGTGTCTCTAGAGGATCGTAGAACAGTAAATTCTGAGTGGTACACAACCATCTGTTTGTTAGAAGTCTTCGGTGAAATAAGGAAAACAAACAAGAGACACCGGATTGTTCTTCATCATGGCAATGCGAGCTCTCACACATCGGCTCAAACAAGAGACTATTTGAGCACTCAAAACATCGAATTGATGGGTCATCCGCCGTACATCCCTGATTTGGCACCCAATGATTTCTTTTTGTTCCCATCCGTGAAGAATAAACTGCGTGGTCAACGATTTTCATCGCCCGAAGAAGCTATTGAAGTGTTCAAAAATCATGTTTTGGAGATATCTCATTTGGAATGGAATAAATGCTTTGAAAATTGGTTTAAGCGTATGCAAAAGTGTATCGATCATCGTGGCGGGTACTTTGAAAAACAATAAAAATATATTCGCAGCTTAACTATTTGTTTTCGTTCTTATTCCCGAAATATAAATAGTAACCCTCGTATTCAATGCTTCATCAGCTTTCATTTTAAAACTGTTTCTTTGATTATATGAGATAAATTGTAGATTGCTGGAAAAATTAAAATTAAGATTAAATTAGTAGTAAATTGAAACTGTATGTACAAAATATACATATATCGTATATGTATACATATTTTACTCAGTTTTTGGCATTTTATATTTGGTATTATTTTTCTTTATTGCTTTGTTTTCATAGAATTAATACACATAATACTACATATATACAATTATATATGTAAATTATTAACATATAATTATATATACATACGTAATTTATAGTATATATTTATAAAAAATATTAAAAAATTAATATATTTAGATTAGCTAATAAATTATGCATTTATATTCCTCTACGATATTCTCGTATATAAATTAATTATATTTAGTATTAAATTAATTTATATATTTTTATTCAACTTTTTATTTTTGCTGCTTGATTAAATTCATTAAATGTATCTAGATAAAAGATAAAATTATATAACAATTCATCTGTAGATATAATTAAGTTCCAGATAATATATTATTTTTAAGACTGCTTATGTGAAAACACAGTTATAAAAAAATATATAAATTATAAAAGAGATATAAAAATATATTTATACTTTTATTTGTAAGTTTTTATTGCTTATTGTTTAAGTTTACCACTGACGAGGTACTGTAACCTCGTCAGTGGTTTTACTATACTTCAGTATTTTTATGAGTTATGACTCTAAACCAAATTACATGAATATTATTCTAAATAATTTAATAAAGATAATATATAATTTTTCATCTAACAATAAGATGCTGATATAGATAATACATATATTTTTATTATCTCTATAAAAATAATATTAAAGATATATATTCATAAAAACGTAGATATTTGAGAATCGCCAGACAGAATTTAAAAACAAAAGTAAGACTATTCTCTCGACCGTACTGGCAAATATTATTTATTAAATCTCAACGTTTCGACCCTTCTTTGAGTCCTTATCAAGTGATCTAGATATACATAGAGAAGAAATACAGTACAGAGATTAATACAATAAAAAAATTACTTCACTTAACAATATTACAAAATAATAAAAAGAAGCGAAACATACTTGTTACATAGAAAATAAAAATAAAATTATAATTTTAAGATGTCAAGAACGAACATAGTGTCGGTTTGACAACACGTCAAGACTCTTAGACGAGTTATGAGAGACTAAACGACCTTTATTATTTTGTCGTAGATATTACATAGATTGTCGGTATCCTTTTGTAAATTAATAGCGTTATTATTTTTCTTAATACAAAACATTTCAGCGATTTCTCTTTTTCTTACGTGTTTTCCACTGTGCAAAATAACCGGCGAAGTCCAGTCAAAATCGCGTGATTGAATTCAATTTTATGTTTGCTGATAACTGATAAATTACTCGAATGCATTTTGATGTTGCTGAAATGTTCCTTTACACGTGTATATAGATGTCTCTTTGTTTGTCCGATGTATGACACGTTGCAATCATTACAATTAATTTCGTAAACTACTTCAATCTTTTTATCTGTAGGCAGTCTATCCTTGCCGAGTGTAATTAAATGATTCGGTTTTGTAGGAATATTATGAACAACATTAAATCCGATATTTTTAAAAATTCGATCGATATCGCCTAAGCTATTAACATAAGGTAGTGAAATGAAAAGAGATTTATCAACAATACTTCGCTCATTACTCGATTCATTCATCAGAAAGAAATATTTTTCGGCTCTCAATATTAAGAAATCTCGATTCATTCATGTTTCTGTGTTTTAAAAAATTAATCCTTTTATTAACCCAACGATCAATTACATGTTTAGGAAAGCAGTTATTAAATAAAATCTGTTACACGATATTAATATTCTCGTCGTGAAACTGATCATTAGATAAGAGAATCGCGTGATCTACAAGATTAAAAAATGTGTTCATTTTATATTTAAAAGGGTGATTGGAAAAGAAATTCATATATCTGTTCGAACACGCGTTCTTCCTGTACCAATTTGTTACAAACTTTCCATTTGACCAAGAGATCGTTGTATTCAAAAAATTAATACATCCGTCTGATTCCGTCTCATATGTAAAGGTTAAACGGTGGTGATAATTATTAAAGGTATTAATTATTTCGTGGATTTTGATCTTTGGAATAATAGCGAAAATATCGTCAATATCATATCTATAATAAGTCGGAATATTGAAACTAAGTTGACTTAAACAATGTGTTTCGAGATCATCCATCACCATGTCTGCCAAGATGGGTGAGAGAGGAGATCCCATGGGACTACCAAAGATTTGTTCGTAATATTGTTCATTAAAGCTAAAACTAGTAGAATCTAGAATAAATTCGACGGCATATAAGAACTGAGCAAGACTGAAATTCGTATTTTGACTTCAATGTCATTGTTTCTCAATAGCGCGTAAAACCAATTCTTTTGGAATATTAGTGTATAGAGCGCTCACATCTAAAGAAATCAAAGTATTATTGTCGTCAATAATTTTATCTTTTAAATTTGGATGGCGGAAAACGTCCAGCCATCCTTAATGTAAGATTTCGGTAACAAATTAGAACTATGTAAAATATTATGAATATATTTAGCAACATTATATACTGGACTACCTAATAAAGATACAATGATGCGTAGAGGAAATTCTTTTTTGTGAACCTTTGGCAGACCATAACAACGTGGTAGATTACCATTAGTGATATTTAATGACTTATACGTGGAGTCGTCAATCAAATCGTTATCTCGCCAAGATTTTATTAGAGCGTTAGTCTTTATAGTTAGTTTGATAGGATTTTTTTTTAGTTTTTTGTAAGTGGATTCGTCATTCAATAACGATTCCATTTTTTCCAAATAATCATTTTTACTCATTACTACGGTGATCTGACCCTTATCAGCTTTGGTGACAAAAATATCTTCATTATCACGTAGAAATTTTTTACAGAGCGAAAAACCTTGTAAGATGTGTCTGTCAGAAGAAGAAATGTGTTTATTTTCACATAAAAACTTTTTGAGAGAATCAGCTACTGAAATTCTTGTGGTTTCTAGTAAATCACTCGGAATGTTCTTGTGAACTTTGTTTAATAAAGTAAAAGAATTAGATAAAGTATACAATGTTTTATTATTCTAAAAAGTATTATATGCGCACGCTATTTATTATTTGAATTTTTTGATATAATTTTAAAATAACAAAATTATAACAGTACCTAAAACGTCAGACATCTTAGATTTGTGACAGCAATATGGACATTTTTCACAGGACAGGCGGTGACACGATCTTCGATACAATCGAGTAATCGACTTTACATGCCTTTTTTAAAAATGGAATACTTGAAGCTATATATCGATCGATAACTACGTTCAATTTGCTTAATGAGATACCTAATTGCGAGCTTATTTTATCGATGCATTATGTTGATTAAGCTCGTTCGCGTTAATATTTATTAAAAAAAGGTGAAAAAAGGCGCCCAGTTAACGGCATGCCAGTAACCAAAAATTACCCATTGCAAACCCATGTAGAATCCTATAAAAAATTAATCATTAACCCATATAGAATTCTATGAAAAATTAATCATTGCAAACCCATGTAGAATTATATGCAAAATAAACCATAACAGGTACGTGTTTTGATATTTATTGCAAATCCATGTAGAATTGTATAAAAAATTATTCATTGTAAACCCATGTAAAATAATACATAACCCCGCACGTCAATGTGTATTGGGTACATAACCCCGCACGCTATCAGATCGCAGAGCACTAATGCCATCTGTTGTGAAACGTGAAAGTCGTACAAGACTACCACTACATGCATCTATTGCATGGTTGTGTACGTGTGATATATGTGTGCGCATGTGTTGTATATGTGTGAATACGTGTAGCACGATACACTATGTGTACGTGGACGATGATGACGATGACGGGGACGTTTCTTAAAAGAAATTTTTCATATTTAGACTTTGCATTATTATATTTCTGCTTACAAATCACGTAGAGCAGAAATAGACACTTTCATTATATAATTCGAACTTAATCTATCGATTAAGTCTAATATAAACTCGATTGCTTCAGCCGTTATTGAGCATTCAAAATTTATAATAGACTCAATCGTCTGACTCGCGTTATTAATTAAGAAAGATAATACACGGTGTGCCTCGTTCGTCAATGCCGGTAACTGGGCGCGAGTGTCTCTTGATATTCGTCCAGACTATGTCAGACTATAAAAGACTTAAGAAAAAGTATAAGAATATATAAGACCCTTTGTTTATATCAAATTTGTATTTGTATATCAGTCTTTCCGAATCTTATTATTTTAAAATAATTTCTATTCTTAATATTTAATATTTACATTGCACCTAATATTTTCTCTATTATGCACAGCAGAGCCTTAACTATTTAGTAAAAAACATAAATGTATTAGGTCCTTGAATAAGTTCTCGCTGTTTCTTAAAAAATGGCGTAGCGGCACTCTGTGCATGGAATTTCGTACGGAAACGCATCAGCTAAGTAGTACTATATGTAACCTCAAATTCTAGTAGATACAGTTTACCACAGTGTCAACCACGTGTTTAATTACCTATTGCGAAAATGTCTACTTTTGTGCCAAATAAAGTGTTTTTGCGGGGAATTTTATTGCACTGCTTTATTCAAAAGAAATCTGCAGCTGAAGCACACAGAATTCTTGTTGAAACATATGGTGACAATGCTCTGTCGAATACGACATTTTAGGCGCTTTAAAAATAATGACTTTGACCTTGAAGATAAAGAACATTCTGGAGCACCGACAAAGTTTGAAGACGAAGAATTGGAGGCATTGCTTGATCAAGATCCATGTCAGACGCTAGTAGAGCTCGGGAAAACATTGCAAGTAGATGCGTCAACAGTTTCAAAACGTTTAAAAGCGTTAGGAATGATCCAAAAGCAAGGACATTGGGTGCCGTATGAGTTGAAGCCGAGAGACGTTGAACGACGTTTTCTCATGTGTGAATTGCTGCTTCAACGGCATAAAAGAAAAGGTTTTCTGCACCGTATCATCACTGGAGATGAAAAGTGGATTTACTACGACAATCCAAAGCGTAAAAAATCGTGGGGTACGCCCGGTCACGCATCAACATCGTTCCCAAAACCAAATATCCACGATTCCAAGATTCTACTCTGCATTTGGTGGGATCAGCAGGGCGTAATTTATTATGAGCTGCTTAAACCCAATGAAACTATCACGAGAGCTCGCTATCGACTTCAGATGATGCGTTTGAGTCGAGCTCTAAAAGAAAAGCGGCCACTATACGGGCAGAGACACGACAAAGTGATTTTGTTACATGACAATGCTCGGCCACATGTGGCAAAACCAGTCAAAACTTACCTGGAAACGCTTCAATGGGAAGTTCTACCTCACCCGCCGTATTCACCGGACATAGCCCCCTCGGATTATCACTTGTTTCGGTCGATGGCGCATGGTTTGAGCGAGCAGCGCTTCCATTCTTTCAAAGAAACCGAAAAATGGGTCGATTCATGGATTGCGTCAAAAGATGAATCGTTTTTTCGACGGGGGATTCAATTACTGCCAGAAAGATGGGAGAAAGTGGTCTCTAATGATGGACAATACTTTGAGTAAAGTTATTGTAAGCCTTATATTTTAAATAAATGTTTTTTTTTAACAAAAAAAACAGCGAGAACTTATTCAAGGACCTAATATTATATATATTTTTAATATATATATACATATATTAAAAATATATATAATATATATATATATATATATGCATATATTAAAAAGCTGATTCAGAGAGAGAATAGTTCAGAAAATTTATTTCTATTGTCATTTCTATAAATTTCTAAATTGTTAATTTTTTTAAAAAAGCAATAATGATATCTAAAGCACTTTGATTGTAAATTACAATATTTAGTATCAAGATAAATGTAAAGAGAGAAAAAGCAATTAAATGTCATGTTTTCATAATATATGTATATGTATCATATTTTTATATTATTTATAATGGCAAGCATAAACGTTTCATTAGTATATTTTTTTATAAATAATTGTAAATACACACAAAAAAAATAATTGGCTTACAAATATGATTAAAAATACATTATTGTATATTCACACACACACATATATATATACATACATATGTATATACTATATATGCTAATATATTTATATTATATAAATGTAAGTATCAAAAATTATTATATATATTTTTATACGACTATAATATCCTAATATATTACTTATAACAACTTACACAAAATTGTAACTTATTAGTCATTAAAAAAAAAAATATCATCGGCTAATAGAAAACGCAGTTGAATTTGGTCGGAAGGAATTTATATCAGATGGAAAATAATGATGCAACGTGGCACGCATGACTATGTACATAATCCACACCCAGATTGCAAATCCTAGGAACTTGACAGGACCATAACTGTAAAAATGCATAGAATAAATATTAGAATTGTCGCAACGTAACATAATTTCAATTTATAATAAATTAATTAGACAGGATGAATACTCAAATCTTAGAAATAAATTTCCTGAGGATTCCATAATTTTCCAGGTGTACTTTGTTCAAAATTCCAAGTAAAATTAAAGTATTTTAATAGTATATTAGCTAACAAGTGCGGAGGATCGTAAATCGGTCGAGAGTGCGGAAGTTTGGCGCACGAGGCGAACCCGAGTGTGACAATCCGCATGATCGGCCGATTTATGACCCGCACATGTTGGTTACGATATTTTGTGTGACCGGTGCGTGGAAAGGGAGCCCTTTCTAAAATTCCATCATGTGAGTAAAGGGCGACTTTTCGCGCGCCGGTTGCACAAATAATATTTAGAATACAATTTTGAACTAAGTTTATTTGTTATATATAATTTTTTAACATAATGAAGTATTTTTTTAATATAATAATGTAATATAGTATTATATTATAAGAAAATATATTTTAATATATACTTTATATAAAACTAATAAATTATTCTTTAAAACTATATTTTAAAATCAAAAGAGCAATTTTTTTTTTAAATTCCTCGAGTTCAAATTAAATTCCATGATAATTCCAGGATTTTTCAAGGTAGAACAAAATTTCCTGAGAATTCCAGGTTTCTCAAGGTAGTGCACACCCTGATTAGAAAAAGAGATCATAAAATTATAATTATACATACTTGGTAAGCCATGCGACGAATATGCTGCATAACACACTGACAACGAATGAATAACTGGCCAAGGGTCGCAAGCTCAATCGAGGTGGCAGTCGCTCCTCGCAGCCGCTGGTAAATCCGCCAGGCATGCGTTTCGGTAACTTTCTGACTGTGACAGGCGGTGTAATCAATTGCCGAAAGATACTACCTAGGAAGCTCTGTCTGCTGTACAGTCCAACGATCTCACGTCGATACTGCAAATGCACAAGTTGTTGATTTTGTGCGTTAAGAATACATATATACAAGATGTCCAATTTTAATCCCCAATCCATCCCCAAAAACTTTTTCATTTTTGCTTGTATAACAAAATGTTTCGAACAAAAGTTATTTGATTTGAAGGGAAACAAAAAATGGTGCTATTGATTTTTTTTTCTGAAGATCAAGATCATTTGAAGGTCATTTTTTAACTAGAACTACTATATTGTTTTTATATAAATTGATTCCTTGCAATTTTTGGCATAAAAAATTATAAGAGCATGACAGCCAAAAAATGAAAAGTTTACGAGATATTTTACCATTTTAATTTGACATTAAGTATTTTATATATACTATAAAATATCAGAATGCTATAATTATAAAATGTAAAATATGTAATACAATAAAATAATATAAATTATGTTATTTTATTGTATAAATATATAAATAAATAAATACATAATATATAAACAAATAAAATAAAATATGTAAAATATAAATAGAAAATAATAATAAAATGTAAAATATATATATATATACACTCTTAACAACAATTAGAGTATTACTTAAATTTCTTTAAAAAATTGGCAAAATTCAGTCAGCTGTAACTTCGTTAAAAATGAATCAAATTTAAATTTAAAAATCTTTACTTTAAAAGCTTACTACATATTGACTACACTTTCATTTTGACCTAAAAAATAATTACATAGAACAAAAATAAAAAAAGAAAAAAATTGGTAATTTTTACATTATTTTCATTCATTTGTAACCAGTCTATAAGTTTTTGTAAAAATTTTGGCAATTATTGCGTTCGATAGAGCAAAGTTTCAGCTTTAATAATCTTTTTTTAAAATTGCGATATTTTTCATTTAATCAGCGATAACTCAATAATAAAAAATCGTAGAAACATTAAAAAAAACGATTTTAGAAAAAGATTTAAGAAAACTTCAAGCTTTCACACCGGAGAGTTGACAAATGTCAGATTTTTTTTACATACGGAGCAGGTTCGCAAAGTAAGAAGAAAATTTCTAATTTTGTTCAGTTCATAGTTTTCTACATGTTCACAAAAATTACCAAACTTACAGGAATTTCAAAAAAGTAGTAAGCTTTTAAAGTAGAGATTTCTTAAAAACCTTTTTTTAAATTTAAATTTGGTTCATTTTTAACGAAGTTACAGGTGGCTGAATTTTGCCAATTTTTTAAGGAAATTTAAATAATCTTCTAATTGTTGTGAGGAATGTATATAATAATACCTTAAAATTGATGTAACAGCACAATTTGTATAAGCTTCTAACGAGAAAAGCACACTCATTCGTTCGAATCGGTTGTAGTTCTGGATCACCCATATATTCGATATATCGACAAGTTTGTCTATCCTTTTGCAGGGGTACAAAAGTACCCGGTCTAATCGAATCAAGACTAGAATCCGTCTAAAAATTAATATTCTTTTTTAATCAAATAAAAACATTTTGATAAAATTTTACTAAAAAAAATCATAGTCGATACAAATTCAGATATGAAAAGAGCTAATAGGAGTGAAATATAAATATTTGGTGACAAAATTGTTTTTAAATTCTTTTTTAATTATTTTGAACGTTTTGGACACTTTCTCATAACACAGATCGGCTAATAAAAAAAAATTCCATCATAGACAACAGTTCACACCTGTGATTGATGACAAAAGGAAGTTGATAGAATACTATCATGATATTCTTGATCCGCCACTATAGCATCCTGTGGAATGTCTTCGAGTTTAATCTGCAATAATCGCGATTGTATTATAATATTAACCCCAATATAGATGTACAATTTGTATTGTAACTGTAAGAAAATTTAGTTACTTGAAATATATCTATTAACTGCTGCTGAGAAGTAGCCAAAAGTAAAGGAACTCTTCGTCGTTCTTCTATGCTGATATCATCCGAGGAATAATCTTCGCAATTAATAAATTCCCATAAAGACAGCAAGAAGCGCTTTCCCCTTCTTCTGTTTTCCAGAGCTTCGACCAAACTGGTTGCCGTTAAATGCGCTTGTTTAATGGTGCTTAAGAACCATACAACCTATGAAAAAAAAAAAATAAACTAATCAATAACTAGTAATCGATAGATCTGTCCAGAGATCTACGAAAAGTGAAAAATACCTGCAAAGTGATGGCTGACGAAAACATAGGCATGTATTGATATGTTGGTCCTTCTAGCTCGAGAATCTGTTGCCTAACAATCGACGTCCATTGATTGGTAGTTAGTCTACCTTTGCTTAAGCCCACATCGTCCATGCAACTTTCCACTTCACATATCATTTTTGCTAAATATGGTTGCGAAAATACCTATAAAAGAGAAATGTCTTAAAAAATTATAGAAAATAGTATAGTCTGTTAAAAAAAATGTGCGTACCTTTGTAACTCTGAATAACATCAGTGCATTCTTAGGTGCTACTAAATCGATTCTCATAAATCGTGGAAGTAACTGTTGAAATATAGCTGTGTATGCTAACAGATTATTGGCAACGAAAGAAATCCATCTTCCAGGATCATGAATTTTACCTCTTTCCTCTTCTTCTATTTTACTAAAAACATCGAAGCGCAAATGTTAGCAATATTTTTATTTGTAAGCTGTATAATAGTTTAATATTAGCAATACTATTATAGTATTGATATGTATGTACCCTTCTTTAGTATATGTTACTCCTGGAACATATCTCCATGGTTGAATAAAACTCAACCAAGCTTCCAATATTAATCTAAACGAGCTGTCCAATGGCCAATGATATATTGCTTTTCGCAAAAACGTATATATCTTTCCTTGAACTGAAGGAAGAATTATTCTATAAATAAAATTATAATATTAATTGTAAAAGAAAATTATAAACAATTTAAAATATAAAAAGTATATTATGAATAAATAAAAATAATTATAACTAAATATAATTATAAATAAATAAATAAATAATATATATTATATACAGGGTATTTTGAAAGTCTGGAAATGGTCAAATGTCTCAAAAACAATACACTTTAGAAAAAAGTTTCAAATAAAAATTGTAGGATTTAAAAACATCTCAATACCTCTTCAATTCATCCATAGCACTCTTGTCACCTGTTGCGCTATTCGTAAATTCATGCAGCGTTTTTATAAATGCTCTTACAAGGCGTATATGTTCACCAGAATGTAGGCTATGCTGAAATTAAAAGTTATAATCAAATATATATGTTTAAAAATAATAAAAATTATTCTTATTCTGCAAAAATACTTATGTTTCTTTATTTATCACTACTCACTGTTTATTTATTTAATCGAGAAAACTTACTCTCCGTGGAATTGAAGTTAAGTAGGATGTATTCAACTGGGAAGTTAATTGCTCACTTTCTGTATACTCCAACCAAAAGTCGAGAAAAACCTGTACTACAGTCTCACTTCTCCATACTTGCGGTAAGCATTGCTGTTGCGGCACACCTGATCCAGGAGTAGTCGTTCCTGGTGATAATATGGACGTTCTTAGAAGTCTCGGAGTTTGTAGTCGTTGACAATCTCTGATTAAGATTTAAAAAAATATATAAATAGTATATACGCAACTTATTTCTCAATATAAACATTAAATATTTCCCTACCTTCTGAATTCTGGTGACTGAGTCAATTTTCTTGACGGAGTTTTCTTGACATACGGTCCAATCATTGGTAAAACGATGGCGTTATCTTTTGGAAGGAAATGATATAAATAACGATGTGCTAATTGAAAGTAAACAGTTTCCCAATTCGCCCATACATTCTCCGACTGTTGCAGTTGTAACCAGGGATTGGTCAGATGGTACGCAAAATGAAAAATAAAATATTCAAAGGGATATATATTTGCATTAAGGAAAAATCAATGCTAATAATATAATTTAATATAAAAGCTAAATCAAAGACTTTAGCTGGATTTTACTCAATAATAACTCTTTTATTAAGTGTTATAGAAATAAATTATTCAAAACTTCTTAACTTGTTTTTTTATAAGAAATAACTATAAAATTTTACATAACAAGGATAGAGAATGTATTGCTGTGAGAGCCAATATATAATACTTAGCAATTCGCTAAGATGAGAAACAATCTCAAATCGAGATTTATAAGTTCCTCTTCCCTTTTACCCCCCCTTGGAAGAGCAGTCGCCCGATAAGCGGAAGGTCTCGGGTTCGATTCTCGATTCAGCTGACTTTTTCGGACCGATATATTTTTCTCGTCTACATCAATTTTAGGGGGGGGGGGGGGGGGTAAAGGAAAGAGGAACTTATAAATCTCGATTTGAGATTGTTCCTCATCTTAACGAATTGCTAAGTATTATATATTGGCTCTCACAGCAATACATTCTTTATCCTTGTTATTTACAATAAGAGCGATCTAGCCATATCATTTGTTATAAAATTTTAGTTAACAATTAAGCAGTAATAATTATATAATATTTGACAAAGGATACTCATAGATAAGGCTGAAGGAACTCGCGTTCCTTGATCATCTCTAATTTTATCGAGATAAAATGGTGATATTACTCCTTCTTCCAACATGGAGCGTATTTTTGACTAAAATATAAAATAAAGATTTATAAGCTGTAATAAACATAAAACAACCTACATACATATATATTACATAGCATAAATAAAATTTTCAGACATACTGGAAGATATGATGTTGGAAAGTTATACTTCAAGTAACAGTCCGGAAGTAATTTGTAGCATAATGAAAACATCGGGCCTTGTGGACTAAGGAAGTTGTACAGTGCATCGTACTCTTGTGGATTCTTAGATGTGATACTATGCAGATTCCATCCGACATTATCTACTATTCCAAATAAAGAGTCTATCAGAAGAGGGAAGACAAGTTGCAGTTCAGTGGTACTTGACTCTTCTATCAATATAGCTAGATCTCTGCATCGTTCTACCAATGGCTCATTTAAATATCTCTGTGCTCTGATCTAAAAATTCATAAAAATGTTTTGTAAAATTTATTACATTGTATATATAATAAATAATATATATATATACATATATATAATATATAATAAAGAATAAATAGTATATATACAGGGTGTCTAGAAAATCGCCCGCAATACTCGGGAGATGATTTCGGACCCAAAAAGAAGAAAAAAATATATAAACATACGTCCAGAAATAAGTCGTTTCCGAGTTATAACCACTTTTATTTAATTTTTTTATTTAAAAATTTTTTTCAATTTTAAATAATATTAAATAATTTTTCCAATAATATTCCTGACTTAAGACAAAGAATAATTCATGAATTCGAAGAAATAAGGAGGAATCCAAATGTTTTTCAGAGTTCAAAATTTCTTATTTGGTAGAAGAATAAAAGCCTGCATTCGTGCTAAAAGTGGCCATTTTGAACATCTTATTTAATTTAAATCAAATATTTATTCATGTTTATCTTTGACTTTTAAAAATTATGTAATCGTATTTACAAATATCAAAAAATTAAAAAAAATTAAAAAATAAAATTTAAAAAATTAAATAAAAATGAGTATAACTCGGAAACGACTTATTTCCGGACCTATGTTTATATAACATTTTTTCTTCTTTTCGGATCTCAAATCACCTCCTAAAGTATTGCGGGCGATTTTTTGGACACCCTGTATATATAATAAATATTACATTTTATATATATATATATATATATATATGTATATATAATAAATTAAATTATATATTGCTGTCATCAGAGTTATAAATACTATTATAAGCGTTATTAAACTTTTTTTTGCTTTACTTTTTGCGGACGTTTGCTCTATCATAATAACTAAGAACTGCATTACTTGTGAAAAAGACCTAAAGGAAAAGTTAAAACGTTGTAATAAAATTAATAAATTGCCAGTTGGTTGATACATATTACTCAATTATTATTATTTATTACTGGCGACAATAAGATCTTTTAATATAATTTTTTTTCATAAATATTTTTCATAAATAATTTCATAAATAAATTTTATAATCAATGCATATAATGTATAACATCAGGTTTGAAGTGTGTAATATTTCAAAATTAAATAGAAATAGCAATAAAAGTATGTAGTATATAGAACATAATGAATTTATTATGAACAAAGCTGAATTAGAATAACAAATTTATAAAAGAATATAGAAAAAAATATGTTAATATATTTAAAAATATAAAACACATTTATATATTTCGGTCTCTTTTTTAAACCACGTTAACGCAATAAAACTATAAATGTAAACATAAATAATGTAAGTGAAGTGAAACGCAATTAAAGAATAAAATACTAAAAGAATAAAAATAAAAATTAAAATATAATATTTAATTTCATAATTAATATATTTGTGTTTGTTTTTTAAGATTCTTATACTGTTTTTATTTAAATTTAACGTGTCGTCAACTGTGGAAAAATCTATGGTTATATTGTCACATTCTTATACTGTTCCGGCTTTTAAGGTTACGTCCCACTACTTATTAGTTAATTACATTAAATGTACATACTGTAGCAACATCAGTTGAAGCAGCCATAGTTCAGAAATTTTTCGTCCTTGATAAACTATAAAAATTAACATTTAAAAAACAATAAACAGTATTTTGTACTGCTCTTTACTTTTATATTATTTTTTATTTTTATTGATTCTTCTACCATATATAGAAACGATCACTGACGAGGTATTATTAAAGACCGACAACCTTACGAGAGTTTGTGTCGCCCATGGTGTAAGCAAAGTATATAGACGAGTATAGAAGCACGGTTCACAGTACCCCGCGGGTCGCACGAGCTGAGCAGGGTACCCACCCAAATAGACAAAAAATATTTCTTTTAGATTTCTAAAAGATATCTTATATCTTCAGATGTCTTTCATTTTGTACCAAAAGATATTTTTTATATTTTTTAGGAATCTAAAAGATGTCTTATGCAACAGTTTCAGATATCTTTTAGATATCTATAAACAGTGGCATAGTCAGGGGGGGGGCTGTGGAAGCTGCAGCCAGAGAGAAAGATGAGAGCGGCCAGGCCGGCGTTTTGGCTGTTACCGTTTTTACGGGACTGCTTGAAGCGCCCCTCGCACCCGTTTTTAATATCGGAACTAACTGCACACCCATTTTCTGGCAGGGTCGATAAAGTTTGTATTTGGTGCGAGTCCGTGCTACGCCCATAATTTTCGTGTTAACACAGTATCACGTATTCATTCTGTATATGTGCGATCTTTTCTCTTTATTTATATATATATATATATATATATATGTATTTATATAATTTGTATAAAAACTAAAATATAATTATTAAAATATATATATATGTATATGTGTAATGAAATATATAAATCTTATTTTAATTAAAATAAAAAGAACGATTAATTGTTCGACCACCTGGATTTTGGAATGTAATTTTTAATATATATTATATTATATTTAATATTTATCGCCGCTTCTATTAATATGAAGTGCAATGTCAACGTGCAATAATGTACAATTATTTAAAGTTTCCATGCCTAATGTATCATGCCGGTATAAAAGAACGTCAAGTAGCATGCGTAGCCGAGCAACTAAGATGACGAGCTGAAATCGTGGACATTTCAAGTTCAAACCCCTGCCTTTTTCAGATTTTTTTTTCACTTTTTTCAAATAAGTTATTATGTGTATAAATGTGTAATAATCAATATATCATTATTTGATAATTTTTTTTGTAATGGAACAAAATAAATTATTTTTTAATTCTGCAAGGAATTTAATTATTAATGCAAACGCCCACACACATAATTTAGATATTCAATTTTTTTTAGTTCAAATGTTTCTTGCAATCTGTATACGACAATCAGTCCACTCGCTGTGCCACAGATTGCATCGCATAATACGCTCAGAGTTATAATACGATAGAGATCGCTTTACGCTGTTTTTCCTTGAAATAAATAAATTTTACGTGTTGTGTACGCGTGTTTAGTATATTTGTTTCTTTCATATTAATTTTAACTATAATTAGTTTTTTAATTAAGATTATTTTAGTGTTAGTTGTTTATTTGTTAGTGTCCTGTTTTCTTTAATTTCGCATTTTTTAATTTTCTTTTTTTTTTGGTGTTGGTGCTAATTATTATTTTTATTTTACAATGTCGAGTAAACACCGGTTTTACGATAAATGTGTGTATTTAAATTGCACAAATATTAGGACAAAAGATGGAAAACGTTTATTTCGATTTCCATTACAAACGGGTGCGAGACATGATTTATGGTTACGCAATAGTGGTGAGTTTATAAAATTGATTTACTTATTTATATCAATATATAATATATATTGATATGATATATGAAACAAATATATATATATATTCTTTGTTTTTTTTAATAAAATATGTCAGATATTATGTATGTTTACGTATGGATTACGTTGAAGTGTTTCTTTGCCGCGTTTTTCTGATCTCGCCGAACGGTTCGCGAATCCTGTGCGAATAAAAAACGATGCGCGTGTGTGTGTGCGTGCGATTGTGATGATCAGTTTCAGTTCGTCTTCAACGCTTGACGAGAGAAGAGGTCCCGAACTGCTGTAAGTTTATAAAAACATATTTTTGTATAACACATTAGAACGATTTTATATTATTTTTTTTGTCTAGAAAACGTTATATTAATAACCGTTATGAAAACGATCTCGACGACGGTCGTCACCGGCATCGTCGCCGTCGTCAAGATCGTTTTCATAACGGTTATTAATATAACGTTTTCTAGACAAAAAAAATAATATAAAATCGTTCTAATGTGTTATACAAAAATATGTTTTTATAAACTTACAGCAGTTCGGGACCTCTTCTCTCGTCAAGCGTTGAAGACGAACTGAAACTGATCATCACAATCGCACGCACACACACACGCGCATCGTTTTTTATTCGCACAGGATTCGCGAACCGTTCGGCGAGATCAGAAAAACGCGGCAAAGAAACACTTCAACGTAATCCATACGTAAACATACATAATATCTGACATATTTTATTAAAAAAAACAAAGAATATATATATATATATTGTTTCATATATCATATCAATATATATTATATATTGATATAAATAAGTAAATCAATTTTATAAACTCACCACTATTGCGTAACCATAAATCATGTCTCGCACCCGTTTGTAATGGAAATCGAAATAAACGTTTTCCATCTTTTGTCCTAATATTTGTGCAATTTAAATACACACATTTATCGTAAAACCGGTGTTTACTCGACATTGTAAAATAAAAATAATAATTAGCACCAACACCAAAAAAAAAGAAAATTAAAAAATGCGAAATTAAAGAAAACAGGACACTAACAAATAAACAACTAACACTAAAATAATCTTAATTAAAAAACTAATTATAGTTAAAATTAATATGAAAGAAACAAATATACTAAACACGCGTACACAACACGTAAAATTTATTTATTTCAAGGAAAAACAGCGTAAAGCGATCTCTATCGTATTATAACTCTGAGCGTATTATGCGATGCAATCTGTGGCACAGCGAGTGGACTGATTGTCGTATACAGATTGCAAGAAACATTTGAACTAAAAAAAATTGAATATCTAAATTATGTGTGTGGGCGTTTGCATTAATAATTAAATTCCTTGCAGAATTAAAAAATAATTTATTTTGTTCCATTACAAAAAAAATTATCAAATAATGATATATTGATTATTACACATTTATACACATAATAACTTATTTGAAAAAAGTGAAAAAAAAATCTGAAAAAGGCAGGGGTTTGAACTTGAAATGTCCACGATTTCAGCTCGTCATCTTAGTTGCTCGGCTACGCATGCTACTTGACGTTCTTTTATACCGGCATGATACATTAGGCATGGAAACTTTAAATAATTGTACATTATTGCACGTTGACATTGCACTTCATATTAATAGAAGCGGCGATAAATATTAAATATAATATAATATATATTAAAAATTACATTCCAAAATCCAGGTGGTCGAACAATTAATCGTTCTTTTTATTTTAATTAAAATAAGATTTATATATTTCATTACACATATACATATATATATATATTTTAATAATTATATTTTAGTTTTTATACAAATTATATAAATACATATATATATATATATATATATATATAAATAAAGAAAAAAGATCGCACATATACAGAATGAATACGTGATACTGTGTTAACACGAAAATTATGGGCGTAGCACGGACTCGCACCAAATACAAACTTTATCGACCCTGCCAGAAAATGGGTGTGCAGTTAGTTCCGATATTAAAAACGGGTGCGAGGGGCGCTTCAAGCAGTCCCGTAAAAACGGTAACAGCCAAAACGCCGGCCTGGCCGCTCTCATCTTTCTCTCTGCTGCAGCCACTCTCCCCTCGAAATTCTTAAGGGTCGACAGGCGACATGGTGGAGACGCCTATCGGCCGGCCGGGAATTACGGATTCGTTCATCCCATATATTAGCCAAAATACTTAATGAATCTTATTAAATTTACGATATTCTTAATCAGTAGGATTGTCCGCAGGGAGACAAAGATCGATTTTTTGGAAAAAAAATAAATATAAAATTCATAATATAACTTGGGGAGATGCGCAGCTAGCAGCGGGTAAGGTTGGGTTAGCCACGAGATCGTATTTAATTTATTATAAATTTTTAAGAGCAATAATGCAAAATTTGACTCTTTGTCTCCCTGCTTTATTATATAAAGAATATATTAAAAAATATTTCACGAAGCTACGTAACTTCTTTTTATGTAATATTTGGGATGAACAAATCTCACTAGATCTATACTCATGGGGAAATTTTCGTGGTAACATACTGACAGCTTGACAAGGAGAGAGTATCATTCTATCTTTGTCTCTCTTGCATTTGATATGTGTAAAATCAGTATAAATACAAAAACCAATATATTACGCACACGAATGAGAAATATTTTACATCTGCTCATTATATATGAAAATATAAAAGTAATGCAAATGAAATTTCACATTTATTTATAATAGTATTGTGAGGTAGTAACACATGGAAATCTTATAAGATGAATGCTGTACATCGATTAGCGTAATATTATGATTTCAAGTCGCAATAAATGATTTTGCTAATATATTATTTTTAATAAAAATTTTATAAAAACAAATAAAAATAAAATGAATAAATTTTATTTATTCTTTGTTTTTTTCTATTATTTTTTCTATTATTTGAATAAAAGGTGTATCGTATATGTAATAGACAAATAATAATTTATATATATATGTATATATTGAAATTAATATATATATATATATATATATATATATATATATAAATTTCAAAACGTAATTACATATTTATATAAATTATCTATCTATTTAATCTATTACACACGATACATCTTTTATTCAAATAATAGAAAAAATAATTAATAGAAGAAGAAAACAAAGAATGAAGAAAATTTATTAATTTCATTTTTTTTGTTTTTATATTTTTTTAATTTTTATTCAAAATAATGTATTAGCAAAATCATTTATTGACTTGTAATCATATTATGCTAATCGATGTACAGCATTCATCTTATATGATTTTCATGTATTAACTACCTCATAATACTATTATAAATTAATGTAAAATTTAATTTCCATTATTTTTATATTTTTATATATTATCAGCAAATGTAAAATATTTCTTATCCGTGTGCGTAATATATATTAAAATATAATTATTATATAAATAATT